GAGACATCACAAACAGTCAATCCTGGTCCATTCTGCAACTTATACAAGTGAAGCCACCAGTGACACTGAGAATGGATCTACAGTGAAGTAGGAGACATGTGACACACACAATTGTATTAACTTTTTATTAATTAATGCACATCTGGAGGGGATCTTTACATAAACCATGGAAGCATCATGTAGCTAAGACATGATACAAATAAGCAAATACAACATTTATTAAATAATATAAATGATCAGTTGGATCACCTGCTTCTCCAGACTTTACATGTTTCAAACACTGAAAGATTCCTGACAATGTTTTTACCCTTGACTGCAGCTCAGAATATCAATTTAACTTTAACTGAACATTGATATGATACTGGTTGTACAAGATCACCGATGTTAGGATAAGTGCAGCCAGGAAACCCAGAGAGAGCCAGACTAAGGTGGACTTTGAGATACAGGGCCCTGGTCCCTTCTGGTCAGAGTGGTTGCAGAGTATCTGGACATTCGTGCGGGTTTGCAAATCCAGAATCTGGAGGCCGGGGACAAGATTTTAGTAAGGGAAGCGCTAGTTTGTAGTGCGAGTTGTATGTAAATGTAAAGATGTAAATGAGTCCCAAAGTCCCAAAGGTTTGTTTAAAGTGTAACTACACCCTTCAGTTGTGCTAGCTCCCTCCCTCTCAGCAAATGTATAAAATGCAAAATGCCAGACTCCCTTTTCTTTTATCTTAACCTTTCACACAGTGTGACATGAGCTCACTGAGATCCACTGTGTCTGTTCTTCATCCAGAGATCATGATGGAGTTCTTTATTGTGGCTTTGCTTTCTTCTCTCCCTGCGCTGGGGGTTACAGGTGAGATTGTCCTGCTTTAGTGAACAGGTAACAGACAGTACTGGATTCAGCTCTTCCTGCTTTTTGGATGTGGTTAAACAATCTCAGACTGTTACAGTAAAATGTTTTTCTTAAACCAGCTTGTTAATGCAGAAAAAGTAATGCTGAGAATCAAATGCTGTTCTGTTTGATCTGTTTTAGCTTCACAGTGATTTCCATTTTGGATAACATTTACAGATTGTATCAGCACGTAGCCATTTTGAACGCATTCAGTCATAAACAATATAATCAGATGGTGTTATCAGAACTCAGTGGACTATGTACACTCAGTCAGTGTTTTCCTTATTTAAAATATGTAATATTATATATAATAATAATTCAGTAGAACTTTCTGCAATGTGTAAAAACACATTGATAAAGAGTTTGTCCAAATACTGAGACATTAATGAAATCGTATTCCAATCAAATAAATATAAGTAAGTAATAAAACATTGAACATGAAGCAGACAAATGTTCATGGTAATGTTGCTTTGTCACTCATTAGTTTATTTCCAGCTGTGTGAAAGCAGGTTGCTGGTTCCAATGCAGTTCTCTGCTTCTCTGTGCTTCATCTGTTGAGTCTGTGACCCAGAATAGACTGTAAAATAACTCACTTTACACTGGAGACACTCAGATCTCAGATCAGGTAAAGAAAGAACTCTGAGAGCACCAACAATTATATATATAGATATGACGCAGTGTGCACACAGATCCTGTATTTCCTCATTAGAGGATACAATACAACCTTTCTATGAGTAACTGGCTCAACCGGATTATTCTCTGATGTTTCTGCTGATACAAAACCAACATTTAGAGGAAGTTATATTTTTTTTCAGCACTTTATGTATAAAGTGTTACGACTGTTTGAGGCAATCAGCTGACACAACTAACTTGTGATTAGTTCACACTGAATAGATCATCATTTAAAGAAAGTTAATACACAGTTACTGCACACATTAACTGATATGTGACCAATTAGATGGATAAAGTTTATTTTCAATACCTTGCATTTGCTCAGCATTTATATTTATGTGAGCCTCGTGTAGAGTCTTGTTGACTTGTTAAATATTAGAGGGTACCATTATTTTTCAGTATATATTTAAAATGTAATACGATTTCTATGTGCTCATGTGCTGATTTTATTCACTGAAAATGTGATATATTGTGATATACAGTGGGTACAGAAAGTATTCAGACCCCTTTAAAATTTTCACTCTTTGTTTCATTGCAGCCATTTGCTAAAATCAAAAAAGTTCATTTTATTTCTCATTAATGTACACTCAGCACCCCATCTTGACATAAAAAAACAGAAATGTAGAAATGTTTGCAAATTTATTAAAAAAGAAAAACTGAAATATCACATGGTCATAAGTATTCAGACCCTTTGCTGTGACACTCATATTTAACTCACATGCTGTCCATTTCTTCTGATCCTCCTTGAGATGGTCCTGCTCCTTCACTGGAGTCTAGCTGTGTTTAATTAAACTGATTGGACTTGATTAGGAAAGGCACACACCTGTCTATATAAGACCTTACAGCTCACAGTGCATGTCAGAGCAAATGAGAATCATGAGGTTGAAGGAACTGCCCAAGGAGCTCAGAGACAGAATTGTGGCAAGGCACAGATCTGGCCAAGGTTACAAAATAATTTCTGCAGCACTCAAGGTTCCTAAGAGCACAGTGGCCTCCATAATCCTTAAATGGAAGAAGTTTGGGACGACCAGAACTCTTCCTAGACCTGGCCGTCCAGCCAAACTGAGCAATCGTGGGAGAAGAGCATTGGTGAGAGAGGTAAAGAAGAACCCAAAGATCACTGTGGCTGAGCTCCAGAGATGCAGTAGGGAGATGGGAGAAAGTTCCACAAAGTCAACTATCACTGCAGCCCTGCACCAGTCGGGGCTTTATGGCAGAGTGGCCCGACGGAAGCCTCTCCTCAGTGCAAGACATATGAAAGCCCGCATAGAGTTTGCCAAAAAACACATGAAGGACTCCCAGACTATGAGAAATAAGATTCTCTGGTCTGATGAGACCAAGATTGAACTTTTTGGCCTTAATTCTAAGCGGTATGTGTGGAGAAAACCAGGCACTGCTCATCACCTGCCCAATACAATCCCAACAGTGAAACGTGGTGGTGGCAGCATCAGGCTATGGGGATGTTTTTCAGCTGCAGGGTCAGGACGACTGGTTGCAATTGAAGGAAAGATGAATGCGGCCAAGTACAGAGATATCCTGGAAGAAAACCTCTTCCAGAGTGCTCAGGACCTCAGACTGGGCCGAAGGTTCACCTTCCAACAAGACAATAACCCTAAGTACACGGCTAAAATAACAAAGGAGTGGCTTCGGCACAACTCTGTGACCATTCTTGACTGGCCCAGCCAGAGCCCTGACCTAAACCCAATTGAGCATCTGTGGAGAGATCTGAAAATGGCTGTCCACCAACGTTCACCATCCAACCTGACAGAACTGGAGAGGATCTGCAAGGAAGAATGGCAGAGGATCCCCAAATCCAGGTGTGAAAAACTTGTTGCATCATTCCCAAGAAGACTCATGGCTGTAGTAGCTCAAAAGGGTGCTTCTACTCAATACTGAGCAAAGGGTCTGAATACTTATGACCATGTGATGTTTCAGTTTTTCTTTTTTAATAAATTTGCAAAAATTTCTACATTTCTGTTTTTTTTTCTGTCAAGATGGGGTGCTGAGTGTACTTTAATGAGAAATAAAGTGAACTTTTTTGATTTTAGCAAATGGCTGCAATGAAACAAAGAGTGAAAAATTTAAAGGGGTCTGAATACTTTCCGTACCCACTGTATATTGTTATCAGTCCTATATAGACCAATATATACAGTTATTTATAGGAAATAATCCTGCAGTCGATCTTTTGAATTCACATACAGTTTAATGAGGAAATCCACAAGTTTTTATTTAAAAGGCACCACAGCCAGTTTGAAACAGGGCAATGGCAGCTGACTGTGTGAGTACCGTAAAACTTCCAATAAAAGCAGGGTCCCTAATAGACGCAGGCCCCCATTAAAAGCCTGATGTGGCTACACGTTTTGACAAATAAACGCAGGCCCCCAATAGTGGATTCTATCTAAATTATTTTGATGTATAAAACCTCTTAAAACCCACCGGGTCGCCCGCCTGAACGACTTGTAAGCCCTCTCTCTCTCTCTCTCTCTCTCTCTCTGCACACCAGGTTGGCCTAGATGCGCTGTCTCTCTCAGAGCTAGATTAAGTGAATGATTAGTAATTCATATGTTGTTTGATATCCTAATTTTTATTTATTTTTTACAAATAAGATTGATACTGTTTTAAATAAAGTAACAAATTAGCAAAGTGCAGAAGAACACAGAAAATCCAACAATAAGGCAAAAAAGTCCAAATGGGTAAAGGCAAAACTCCAAAAACCAAAGCTCATGAAACACAAAGGAATGCTGGGACGTTTGATCAGAGACACAAAGACAAACAGAAGGGAGGAAACACTGAGACTATATATTACACAGGTGTGAGGGTAAGCAGGTGATCAGGGCGGAGCAAAGAATGACAACTAGAGGGAAAGACACACAGAGACAGGAAGTGAAGGGAGAGGGAGAGGTAGGTACAAAATAAAACAGGAAACAAACACAAAATGAAACTTCAAAATAAGACAGACTATGGTGACTGATGAGTAATGACAGATCTATCTGTAAGTATGTCTGCTCACTCAGTTTGGTGACACATTATTTAGATTTCATTTTAAAATGAACAGAAATTAAAGTTAAAGTTAAATAAGAAGTTAAAAAGTGAAATATAAATGATGTTATAATGTATAGAATAATGCAGTTTAATGACTGTACCCGCTGTCCTTTAAATAACAGTCACATTGTGAAACCTACAGTATAACCCAATGTATTTTACTGTTACTGGCTCAGATAAGTATGTATATTAGATTGTAATGTGTATGGAATAATGGAATTATACATGAGTTTTATTTGTTTTGATATCTGCATTAAATATCGACCATCAGCCGCCCTGCTCTCTAAATATCAGCATTAACCATTAAAACCATATCAGTCCACCACTAATACTGTACTAATGAAATATTTTAATATCAGTGTTTAATGATTCTGTAACAGGAAGTGTAAATATGATGTTTGTCTCTGCAGGAGAGTCTGATGTGATTGGCTCAGACAAACCAGTTACAGTAACAGTCGGTGATAACGTCATCCTGCCATGTCACCTGGAGCCTCCATTCAATGTGACGACTCTAACAGTGGAGTGGAAACGTGATGGAGAATATGTGCATGTCTATAGAAGTACGAAGGATGATCCAGGTCTTCAGGACGAGAACTTCAGAGGTAGAACATCTCTCTTCCATGAAGAAATGATCAGAGGAAACATTTCACTAAAACTGACCAACGTAACTGAACTGGATGCTGGAAGTTACACCTGCAATGTTCCCAAACTGCAAAGTCAGGTCAGGAGAGGCTTCATTAACCTCACTGTTGGTGAGTACAGCTAACATATTACACATTCAAATGAAATAAGAGGAAATGTTTTTATCTCTTAAACACAGTTTACACATTTACATTTTAACACAATTGTCCAACAGAGCCAGTGGAGAACAGGAACAAAGGAGGTCAGACTGATGATATCAGTAAGTAAATATCTTATTTGTCTCCTCATCAGCTGTCATCTCCTGTTGGTCTGAATGTTATCACATATTTTAATATTTTATTTCATTGTTTCCACAGACACAGAGCCAGGTAAGTGCTGTCTTTACTGCAGTCCACAATGTACACAGATATCACTCCTGTTTCTCTCCTCCTTACAATATGAACCTGAGAATGAGCATAATATGACCTCTTTAACCTCAAAAGTAATCAGAGCAATTCTGAATGTAATGCTTCATTTGACAGGATGCCATTCTAACAAATAATGAACTCATTCATCATCTCAGAGCACACTGATAGAGGACTACTGAAAGGTCCAGTGTGTAACATTCAGGAGGATCTATTGTCACCGCCATGTTTCTACAGTAGCCCAGAACACATTTGGAAGTTTTATTCACTTGTTTGCAATCTGTAACTTCACCACTAGATGGCACTGAATCCTCCACAGCGGTCCTTTAAATAACCCTGGATCCTCGTATTTCTGGAGAATATTCTCACTGATAATACTGTTTGTTTACTGTTGTGCAATGAAAGAGATTCTAACCAACAGACAGTTTTGGTGGGATGGACTCCAAGTACACATTGAGACCATGAACAGGAGAAGTGGCTGTGGAAATATTGTTGATGGATGTTATCTTGGAACAGTGAAGAACAAATCTCAACATCTTTCCTCTGTTCTTTCAGGTGGTGACACTTATTTGAGCCCCGGTGCTATAACTGGCATTGCTCTTGCTGTCATTGCTGTCATTGCCATTGTTGCAGTTGCTGTATTGTGGATGAATCGTAGAAAGATCAGTAAGTCAATAATCTTCTCTCTCTCCATTTTCTCCATTTAAAAAGACAGTTTACAGTTTTTCAGTCAGTCTTCAAACAACAGTGAACAGTGAAACAGGTTTTTCTTGCTGTAATGGTTCCTCCTGTTATACTGGACATTAAAGATCTCTTCCTAAAGTACTTTCAATGGAAGTGATGAGGGGAACAATCTACAGTCCTCCTTACATGGAAACATGTTTTCAGAAGTCTATCTAAAGCTAATATCAGCTAATATGTGTTTATAACTCCATCATTTATTTAGAAATCATTTATTGGGGGTCTGCACCCTGCCTCTGATGTACAGTGTGTCTGAGCTTTCTCACTATCCTGCTGTCTGATTATGATGGTTGATCTGGGACAAGCTCCTTTACTTGTAGTTCCTCACTGTCAATAACAACAAGTGTCATCACTCCACTGCTGACTGACTCTGCTTGGGCTGATAAAATAATCGCCCTTTTCACATCCTATTCTCACTTTTCCTGCTTTATTCTTTGCTGATGATGCTACTCTGCTGCATGACACTGTGTTGAATTCTGCAATTCAATCATATTTTCCACAGAGCTTTAACTTTTCTAAACTTAAACATGTGTTGATCAGAGCGGTCAAAGAACAGAAAATGCTCATGTGACATTTTTGAAGGCACTGACTAATAACTTGTTTTGTGTCTAACAGCGACGGGCTGTGCAAGACCAAACACGACAGGACGCAACGGGCAGAACGGGGAAGGTAGTCAGGAGGACAATGCAGAGGACAATGCAGAGGACAATGCAGAGGACAATGCAGAGGACAATGCAGAGGACAGTGATGAAGACAGTGATGAGGGTAATGGTGAGAATATAGGTATGCTCAACTTAAGAAATGTCAACTAGCATTTGATGATGACTCTTGATTCTTTGAGCCAGATACTGAATGAAAGAAAGTCTTTTAGTCCATCCACATATTTATCAGGTGTGTTATGAGTTATTATTATTATCATTATTACTATTAACTCCATTATCTTTTTATTCTGGTGTCAAACTCATTAGATAAACATTGGTTTTCTAAGCTTGGTTAACAGGTAGAAGGTAGTGTTCTTCTGTTTGACCTCATGATGGTGCTGTTTTCTGTACCATCAATAAAATCTACTTAAAGTATCAAATGTAGACACCAAGGTCTCATTGTGCAGTAAAATGGTCCCTGTTAGTGTTTTACTGTTATATCTGATGTTTGGGATTAATGTCATGTTAATGTTGCATTGTAACTCCTTCATACACTGTCGCTGTCCTATGAGAACCACGTATCTGTAAAAAGACCAAAAAAAGCCTGTTTTTTCAGCGTTGTGACGACGCATTTTCCAGATAATCCAAGATAATTGAGTGCACACAGACAACAAGTAACTGACCTGTGATTACTGTCAGTATGAGAGGTTACAGTAGGCTGTATGTGTAAGATATTACAGGATAGACATTAAGTAGAACAAGACGCATCAACATTTTTAAAAATGTCAAAAATAAGTAAAATTATTTTTTATCATATTCATAATTTTTTGTATTTGTTATTGTTGATGATAATTAATCATTGTAATATATGGATTAATCTGCAGAGGTCAGAAGTGACAAAACACAATCTCTATCTATTATTATATTATTTATTTTTCTGACAAATAATCAATAATCACACAAATAATTGAACTTTCTACTCCTTACAGTTTCAAAAAAAAAAAAGTTAAATCATTTTATTCATCATAGCATGCCTTCCATGATGAAACAGACAAGGAAGAAGGTTCAGTTAGCTTTGCACTTTTATACTTTACATTTCAGAGCCTGTGCTTTTTACTTGAGTAAAGAAGTTGAATCAGTACTCCTACTTTTACTGTGTGTGCTGTGTTTTACTGAGTGTTTTTTACCTTTGGTACCTTTGCCAGCATGTGAGAAACAAATATCCTTGATTAAAATGCAGCTGCAGGGAATTGTTCAGATGTGTTGATTTTATAAACCACTGCAGGGACAGAGTCAATGTCTCTGTCCAATGTCAGTTTTTATTGTTTTTGTTATTGTGTTGTTTTGCTTCAAGTTATCTTGTTTTTCTGCCCTGTGAAGAACTCTGCAACATCAGTTTACTGTATATAAAATGTCTGTTTTTATTATAAAACCTTTTGATTTGGTCAAATATTCACAGCTAAACTCACATTGGACACTGGAAGGATGAAACTGTGATTGTTGATTGTTAATAAAAAGATTTTAAACTTGTAAATTAGATTTTGTTCTTATTTGGTCTGAATGGAAAAGTAAGAAGAAAATCAAAGTCAGTCTGAGTTTGTTAGAACTTCATTGTGTATAACTCTCAGTAATTAATAGTAGAATATTTAAAGGATATTAATGTTCATTTCTCAATGCACAAACAGAATGATGCTACCTGAACAACATGAACCTGCAATAGTTCAATGTATTACTGTATGTGAGAGTGTACCACTGTAGCTCCAACCTTTTCATTTGTCTACAACAATAATCCATCACCACTGTCTTCCTCTCAGTGGCTGCTCTCAGATCAGCTTTGGTGAGCAGTTCTGTTTTCAGTGTTTGTCTGTGAAACAACGTTCAGTTAGAAAGCACAAGGAAGAGTTTTACAGTTTTCATCGACATTGTTCAAAAGGGAAAAAAGACAACAACAACAAACAATATCCCAGAGGTTACAAACATTAATACACTTTGAGATGCAACTGTCAATCAATTATTCAAATCAATACATTAAATAATCAAAAATAGAATAGAAAACTGGGTTCAAATCAACCAGTCGAACACTAAAATAGCAAACAAATAAATATTTCAGTCAGGACCACTTTCGTCAAAAAATTTTTTTTTCCAAAAAAAAATAAAATTTGGGGGTTTGGCTTTTTTTTGGACCCCCTTCTCCCTCCCCCCCCCCCCCTGAAAAACCAAAAAGCAAGGGGAGCACCCCCCCCCCCCCTCCCAAAAATAAAAATAAAAAAATAAAAAAAAAACAGAGGGGGACCCAAAACCCCCACCGACAAAAAAAAAAAAAAAAAAAAAAAAAAAAAAAAAAAAAAAAAAAAAAAATAAAAAAAAAAAAAAAAGAAAGTGGGGGGGAGGGGGGGGGGAAAAAAAGCAGAAAGGGGAGAGAAAAAAGAAGAAAGGCAAAAAAAAAAAAAATAAATAAGATGATTTATTTTTTTTAGTAGATTGGGGAAGGAAATAAGTTTGTCTTTAAGTTTTTATTGTTAGTTTTTAAAAGGTAAAATAAAAAAATTAAATTATTATTTTTTTTTATTTAAATTAAATTTATTAAAAAAAAAAAAAAAAAAAAAACCACCCCCCCCCCCCCAACTAAAAAAATTCTTCCAACTGTCTCTTATTAATACAATCTTTAATAACTAGACTGCTGTGCGTAATTGGTTTGTAGCCAAATGCACAAACAGTGATCCATCGGCTGAAACTGAAATGGAAGCAAGAAGAAGAAAATGTCCTCCATTAATCCTCAATTGGGAGATTCTTGTTTTCTTGTCTCCAAATACAATCGTGGACACACAGGGTGATGGGCCTCCAGCAACAGTTAGGGGTTAGGTGACAGCTCAGCAGTGCACAGGAGGTGAAACGCTGTCTTAGTCATTATCCGGGGGGTCAGAGTCCGCTGAGCAATTAGACGTTAAAAAATATGTTTTATGTCTATTATGTGTCTATTTCTCATTGGGCTTATTCAGGGTTGTAAAGTTAAACCTCCTCCTTTCAACTCATCTCCACCAGGTTCAGCTAAACTCTAATCTAGGTCTTTTAGATACTGAGTGCTGGATAAATAGAAACAGATGGTCAACTGGAATCAAGTAAATGTATTTAAGATATTGAGAAAATTGAAGGAAAAAATTACATCCTAACAATTTATATTGCCTCACGTTTGAGTTTTCATATTTCCTTTTCTTCAGTAGGTTAGCTGAAACTATTTTACTGTACTCTAGATAATTAAAAAAAAAAGAAAGTATTTTGGCCTTTCATTGCCTTTATGATAGTGACAGCTGTAGATAGACAGGAAAGGGGGGCAGAGAGAGGGGATGACACACAGCAAAGGGCCACAGCTTGGATTCGAACCGTGGGCCGCTGCAGCAAGGACTCAGCCTCAGTACATGGGTCGCCAGCTCTACCCACTGAGCTAACCAGGCGCCCGTACTCTAAATAATTAAAGGGAAACTCTGTTTAATTTTCATTATAGTAATCACACTGTCTTCATATTTGAATGGTCATATTTCAATTTCTTTAGCAAGTTACTAAATCTTTCAGTGGAATCCTGTATAGGATGACCTCCACTTTACTCATGGGAGATTTGGACTGATTTTATTGTGAAATCACAAGTCTCCTCCCACCTGGATAACTGCCACTGCTCTCTAAACCAGTCCCCCCAGGATTATAAAGCTCCACACTTCAGATCAGATTTCCCTCTTTTCCCTTCAAACCTCACCAAGAAGAACAAAGAGAACCTGCTAAAGGATTCTATGTTAAGAAGAAAAGAGAAAATAAGCTCAGATTGTGGATCCATTAATGATGTAAGTTTAATGATCTAACTTATTTATTATTATTAGTTTTGTTTGCTTTTAATTATTCAGATTTGTAACATTTCTTCAATATTCTTTTTGTGTGGAAAAAATCAATTATCCACATCCATCAAACACCTGTGCAAACAATAACCGACCCACTGACTGTAATAAACTGTTGATCCTGTGTTTCTGTGTGCACACCACATAGGATGTTCAGTGAGCCAATGCAATAGCTTTTTCATTTATTATATGGTTTTGGAGAAAATGAAAGGAACAATAGGCTCAAATTACATTATAAGAATCATATTGTAATTTTTATTTTTTAAAGGAAAGTTGGCTCAGTTTTCATTTAAAAATCATTATGGCCTTAAATTTGAACGGCCTTTCCTGAGAAGGTTAGATAAAACTTTCAGTGTTTTTTGTTGCTAGCCAATCAGAAGCCTCACTGGCTGCAAAAATACTATGTGAGTCAACAGTAAAACACCAAAATAAAGTAGTGAATAAAAAAAAGAAATGAGCTCTAGAAATATTCTCCTCCACAGTTCACTGTGTGGGAAACAACCAGCTGCTCTGGTTTAAATTGTGTCTCTAAGAGAGGCGAATATGTTGCACATGTTGTAGAAATTCATTAACTAATACATTTTAATATTTAATATACAATGATATAAATGACATCTTCAGAATATTGTGCTTTCTTGTAGAACTTAAATGTTGAAAGTGCCTTCCTACAGAGATTAACAGTAGTGGCCCCAAGAAGTTTGAGACCCCTGGTTCATAGACCCTCCTTACCATAGTAACCCTACGTAAGGCCCAACGAAAGACATGAAGTTTCTTCTGCTGTTGATGTGTCTCTGTCTGACAGACGATGGTGAGTCCACTGAGCAATTTATGTTGTTATATCTATTATATGTCTATTTGTCTGTACACGTTTGGTTTAGATTGTTGAAAGTGTTTTTAAGTTCTTCTTAAATCTGTGCTCTGAATGGGTTTATGAGGCAGGGATGCCTGAACTACTTTAATCTGCTCAGTCTGACAAATAGTTTTTCTTCCGTTTCTATTTCTGTGTTTGTTTAAAGAGGTGTGTTCTTTGTGTGTGTGTGTTGTGTTTATGTGGTTACAGTGTGTATAGGTGTGTATAACTGTGTGTGTGTGTGTGTGTGGTGGAAGAATAGCTGATGCTTGTGTTGGGGTTTATTCTACTTGTCAAAATGATAAAAGGGGAGATTTTATTCTCTTTTATTATTACTCATTTGTCTGTAGGCGTTTGGTTTCGGGTTTTTCAGGATTGAAAAGTGAAAGTGTTAGTAGAGGTCAAATCTTATCATCCATCAGTAACGTCTGTTACATTTAGACGTTGAACCTTCCTCTTTTTATCTCAACTCTTTAACCTACAGGTCTTTTAGATATTGAATAAATGACACAGATGGCCAATCAAGGAAATGTATTGATCACTGTACAACACAAGGTTGTGTTATGAAATTATACAAAAGATCATTAGAGTTAAGACTGTGTGTTATGTGCATAAATATCATGTGAATATGAACATAATTTGCTCTGTCCTTTATTTTTGATGAGACAGGAATGCAGAATAAGCTTTTGACTGTTTACCCACAAACACTTGTAATCTTTTCATCTATCCTCTAGTTGAGCTGAGGTTAAATACAGAGTCTGTGTCATTGGCCAGTTGGGTAATAACAGTCTGTTCATCAAAAACCTTTAATTTAACAATATCTGATGTTTGATTACCAGTAATTCTACAGCTTCTGAAAGTACAGGTGAGTTGGAGCAGGTGGTTTAATGCTTGTTCCAGCATGTAAGAATAAAACCATTGTCAACGGAAAGAACCTCACACCTGTTCTTTTGTGTACACATTAAACACTGGAGGGCACAGTTCCCCCTCCCTCGTCTCTAGAGGTCCAGCTGGACATTTGATGATATGTATTTTAACCTAACTGCTGTTTCTTGTTTGTTCTTTTGTTTTCCTCACAGCAAACTCACAGTTGATTTGTTCACATCAACCAATCACAGCCCTGGCTGGTGATGATGTCATTCTACAATGTCACCTTGAACCTCCCATCAGTGTTTCTGATGAGACAGTGGAGTGGACCCGACCTGATTTAGACCCAAAGTACATCCACTTTCACCAGGATGGACGACTGATGTTTGACCATCAAAACCCATCTTATTATCTCCGCACGAGACTGTTTATGGATGGACTGATGAAAAGAAACGTCTCCATGAAAATCTTCAAAGTGAAAGTTTCTGATACAGGAAGATACCAATGTGCCCTTCCCTCATTACAGAAGGAAGCTTCCATCCAGCTCATTGTTGGTAAGTCAGACTGGAACTTTCTTACAGATGTATAAAGGCTTTACTGTGTACAAATAAAACACCTTTAAAAATAAATTTTTAATTCAGACCATATTGGGAAACAACATGCTCAGTGATTCTGTAACAGAAAGTGTAAATATGATGTATGTCTCTGCAGCACAGTCTGATGTGATTGGCTCAGACAAACCAGTTACAGTAACAGTCGGTGATAACGCCATTCTGCCATGTCACCTGGAGCCTCCATCCGACATGAGGACTCAAACGGTGGAGTGGAAACACAATGTGATAAAACCATCGTGCATGTCTACTAGAAACAGGAAGGACTATCTAGATCTTCAGGATGAGAACTTCAGAGGTAGAACATCTGTCTTCCATGAAGAAATGATCAGAGGAAACATTTCACTAAAACTGACCAACGTAACTGAACTAGATGCTGGAAGTTTCACCTGCAATGTTCCTAAACTGCAAAGTCAGGTCAGGAGAGGCTTCATTAACCTCACTGTTGGTGAGTACAGCTAACATATTACACATTCAAATGAAATAAGAGGAAATTTTATCTGTTATGTGTTTTGTATTAATTGTCCAACAGAGCCAGAGGAGAGCAGGAACAAAGGAGGTCAGACTGATGATATCGGTGAGTAAATATTTCATTTGTGTCTCTATTCAATGTCGTCTACTCTTCCTGTTGGTCTAAAGTTTATCACATATTTTCATATTTAATCTTTTTTCCTCAGACACACAGACAGGTACTCCTGGTACTTACTGCAGTTCATGATTGCACTGAAAACAGGAATATTGAATATAAAATGATGAAAATGAGTTCATCAGACTCACACTGACATTTTCTGTTGTTTCATTATTGTAAGAACGATGCATGATTGATATTTTTTAAATTAACTTACTGCCCTGCCATACTGCAAAGTACCTCTAGGGGTACAGTAGCCCCATCTGAGAAACACTGCATTATACAACAGTCTCCCTCAAAGGTCAAATCAGTGTTTTAGAGCTCTGCTCAAAGTTATTCTCAGTTTCATTTCATTGATGAGTCCCTGATTTGTTCCTATCATTTGTCCCGTGTCTTTGTGATAAAGTGGATTCATCCACACCATCTGTCAGTTGTGTACCTTTCTGTGTTTCATTTCTAGGCTGACGTCATGGGACATCTAAGAGGGAAAGGCTGGCTGAGAGGGAGGGCTTGTGCTGTAAATGTTGTTTTTCTTTTGTTGTTATGAGTTGATTTAGCCTCAGTTTCTCATGTTAATATTTTTTCTGGTTTCCTTGTTTTACAGATTTCCTGGAAGCACCTGTAAATAAATGTCCATTTATGGGACCGCCAACAAAGCCTCTTGAGTCTGCTTGACCTCAAGTATTGTGACCATGAACCACAGAAGAAGTGACTGTGGAAATATTGTTGATGGATGTTATCTTGGAACAGTGAAGAACAAATCTCAACATCTTTCCTCTGTTCTTTCAGGTGGTGGCACTGGTAATAACACTTGTGCTATAACTGGCATTGTTGTTGCTGTCATTGCTGTCGTTGTAGCAGTTGCTGTATTGTGGATGAAACGTAGAAAGATCAGTAAGTCAATAATCTTCTCTCTCTCCATTTCCTCCATTTAAAAAGACAGTTTTCAGTTTTTCAGTCAGTCTTCAAACAACAGTGAACAGTGAAACAGGTTGTTCTTGCTGTAATGGTTCCTCCTGTTATACTGGACATTAAAGATCTCTTCCTAAAGTACTTTCAATGGAAGTGATGAGGGGAACAATCTACAGTCCTCCTTACATGGAAACATGTTTTCAGAAGTGTATCTAAAGCTAATATCAGCTAATATGTGTTTATAACTCCATCATTTATTTAGAAATCATTTATTGGGGGGTCTGCACCCTGCCTCTCATGTACAGTGTGTCTGAGCTTTCTCACTATCCTGCTGTCTGATTATGATGGTTGATCTGGGACAAGCTCCTTTACTTGTAGTTCCTCACTGTCAATAACAACAAGTGTCATCACTCCACTGCTGACTGACTCTGCTTGGGCTGATAAAATAATCGCCCTTTTCACATCCTATTCTCACTTTTCCTCTCAACTCAGCCCAGAGCACTCAAACACAGAAAACACTCAGTTTGGAAATCACTGACTGATAACTTGTTTTGTGTTGTTATTATGTGTTCAACAGGACAAGAGAGAGAATATCTTCCAGCACAGAGGGACAATGCTGAAGCAATCCCGTTGGAATAATGACAGAAAAATCAGGTACCTCCAGTAAAACATCCTGGTTGTCACGATTCTGAGGCTGAACCCAAAAGCAGACTGAGACTGGTTGTAGTGAACACAAAGTCTTTAATTATGGTCTGGAGACTGGCTGAAGTCTGGGGTTTGAGTCCTGTGATGAAGGTGGTAGAGGCAAACTGGTGCAGAGAGCTGGCAGACAGGCAAATCTGGTAGCAGAGGAAACCGTTATAAGAATTCGGTAAGCTGGCTAACAAGTTCAAAGGAGGTGAAGCGAGACACACAACATACTGGGTGTGGTACAACGATCCAACAGGGACTGGATGTCAGCCAGGCTTCTTATAGTGGTGAGGTGCAGTCTTGATTGAAGGCAGGTGTGCTTGATTGTGGGTGAGCAGCAGGTGAGTGGAGACAGAGAGAGAGGACAAGGGGGGAAGAACAAGCAGACAAACCCAACAAGAAACAACCTCACTAACACCAAGGTAGAAAACAAAACCACATAATCCCACAATCACACAGCAGGAGTGATGATAGGTTAATCAGAAAAAATAACCAACATGCACATTAAGCAAAGATAACAATGTTCTGATGTGAAATGTCAGAATGTGTTTTTCTAAAGGTTCCTACAGTCAGTACAGACTGAAGTTATGTGAGAGCTTTTCCTTTGTATTCACCATAAACTGGATGATCCTGTTTGACCTCATGGTGGCGCTGTGTATCATTAAGTATCATCTGCAAGTACTCAGTGTGCAGTAAAATGTTCCCTGTCACTGTTTTACTTTTATAAATGATGTTTTTGGTTTCATTTTTTTTACTGCATTTCACTGTTGTAGATATTTATGGTTGAACTCATTTGAAGTACTTTGTGGGTCAGTACAGAGCAGAGTTATGTTTGAAGAAGAAATACAGACCATTTCATCCAGAACTTCTTTCTATGTGAATGTTGATTGTGTAATATTCTTGATTGAAATGCAGCTGCAGGGAATTGTTCAGAAGTTCTTCCTGATGTGTTGATTGTATAAACCACTGCAGGGACAGAGTTGGTGTCTCAGATACTTTAACTGGATTCAATCTCTGTCCAATGTTAATGTCCAGCTCCCTCTATTGACTTTTACAGTGTAGAATTGTTTAACCAGAAGGAATAATGAAAAGCACTTATAGACTTTTATTATTTTAAGGTGCCATTGTTAAATTGTGTGTGTAAGTATCAATGGTTGCATTTATTTCCTTACATTGTTTAACTCCCGGTATTTTATTTATTCATTTTTTGGTGTGTTTTTGCTTCATGTTATCTTCTTTTTACTGCCCTGTGTGTGAAAATCACCATACTGTATGAAATGCAGTCTGTTGTCATATAACAGCTGTCTGTTCTGTATACTAACATCTGGACTGCAGGAGGCTGAAACTGTGATTGTTTGGAAATAAAAAGATTTTTGTTTTAACTTTTTTATGACATTTTTTAATAAGTTTGCATTGAACTCAACATTTCCTCCCTCAGGGAATAATTATAAACACTACTGTTCATCCATTTTATTGAATTAAACAATTAAATACTCAACTCTCTGGTCATCATAACGTCTGGAGATATGTGCACATGCTCTATGTACTTTATATTGTTAGTGTCATTTCTTCAACACTAGAGGGAGCCACACAACAGGACAGTGTCAACATCAGCTGCTCAGAATAAATATATTCTAAATAAATAAGTAAAACTGAAACATCATCAACAATAAAGCAGAACACACAAACAGGGAGGGGAATATATATCAGGTGAGTTTGATTATCTGACAGTAAGAGGTAAACTGTTAGAGAGTTTAAGGTCGGTCTTCATTATGAAGTGGAGCTCAGGGAACTTGCAGTGACCCTGGTCAGCTGACCTGAGAGACTTTAAGATCCAATATGGACGCAGTCATTCAGAAATGTGCTCAGGGGCTCCACCATGTAGAGTCTGATATATAATAATGGTAATAAGTCAACTGTTGTTTTGTAAACTCTACTGGCAGACAATATAAGGTTTCTATCTACTGTAATATCAACTGAGAACAGAGGGGAGTGTATAAACTGATAAATAATGTTTTAATGCTGTAACCAATGGTGATGGATTTGGACCAATAAGAGCTGGGTAAGAGGGTGGCTCTTCCGCCTCCAGGAAGTCAAACATAACAAACACACATGGCCCAGACAGAAACCTCTGATTGGCTGAGTATAGATAGATAGATAGATAGATAGATAGATCAGAGAGATATACCTATACGAGTAGGGCGGGTCTTTGCTTTCAGTGGCTGACATGAGAAGTGGCTTTGGCTAAAGTCAGCCAATCAGAGGCAGAGGAGAGCAGGTCAGGATATTTTCATCATCATTAGTGGAAGAAACAAACAGGCAGAGAGATGAGTTTGTCTGACGTAGTGTTTGTAGTTCATTAGAATATTTTAGAGTTTTGTCCTGTTTCTTTGTACATCTTTAAAAACAACCTTAATAAGGCTTAAAATACTGTAAATAATCCACACATACAGATGTTACTTTCATCTTTTCTTCTTTCTCACAGAATGAAGTGTTCTCTCGGTATAAAACGCCCCCGCCTCTAAAAGGGCCACATTGTGATGGCTGGACGGGTCAGAGCATCTCCAGAACTGCAGCTCCTGGTGGGTTTCTGAGTTCTTGTCCCCGGTGTTAGGTATCATTACATTGCTAAGAGCTCTCGTTCTCTCATTCCTAGCCACAATATGTTATTTCATTTTATTCTCCACAACCATTTGGTTACTATAATTTCTATATCAATTGTGTTTTTAACTACTTTATATATTACAACAGGAAGATTTGTTAGTCAGGTGACTGAATGACAATCATATCATGGACCTAACCAGCCACTGTGTGTTCAGTGTCCTGGTGGTGACAGCATGCCCATTTTGACCACTAACCTTTAGTTGTTTTTTCTGTTGCTTGGGAGTTTATTAGAAATTACTGAACCACTTTAACATTTCCAATCCTTTTTCTTATGAAATAAATTAATAAAGTTCAACAAGTTGGGACCGCCTTTTGTAGTAGTAGGTAGGTAAGTAAGTTTTATCCTTTCAAATCATGCCCTTCATATGGTGTGACAGCAGTGCAGGTAATGAAACAGACATTAGGATACTAATACATTTACTACATTTTACTGCAGTCAAGTAGCCTACTGTATCTGCTTTATTAACTATGTTTATTAATTATCTAAGCCGAGAGGCTTTGTTCTGAGCTCATGAAAAGTTGACTTTTTAGAGATAAGTGATTCTCACTGGACAGCCAGGCTGCAAACATATGATGATCGTAACCTATTATAATATGCATTCCTCTAGAGTTAAGCGCTCAACAGTAAATATAGTTAAAATGATGACAACCTTAAACATACCGCAATGAGAATAATAAACATCATATATTAAAAAAATTCTGGTGCATCCATCTGTAGTGATGCTGCCGGATATTTGTAACTGCTGGTCAATGAAGTGTGCTACTTCAGCTATATCTGTCTTATGTCGTCTTTGCCAGAGTGGATTCTTTTGTAGCTTTCTTTCTAGGGTCCAGAGACTGATATAAGATCTCACAATTTGTGAATACACCTCTAAAGTAGTCTTCAATGACAATATCCATTTGGTCACCCAAACTTTGTCTCATTCAGTTGCTTCTGTTGCTTTGGAGCATATAAGGAAACAACACACAGGCCTATTCTAATTTAAGCTTCTCATTATATTAAGATACTAAGTCAAAATAATGAGAAAGTATCTCATCATTTTGAGAAAGTTTCTCATTATAATGAGTCATATTAATGGAAATGGGCTTCCATAAAAAATAGATAACATTAGAAACATCTCATCCTAATTACTGGATTTCCAATGCATTAGAACCTTATGGGATGGTAATGATTCTTAAATGTTAATGGAGACACAGAGTTATGGCTTGTGAAAAACTTATATTGTATACTGTATATTTTGATTATAAAACATATGAAATAAAAAATTAGCTCCTTTTTTTGCCCATGATTCTAGGTGTCTATTATAAAGAATTAAAGGAGGCCATTTATTCCTGATAATGGGCACCTTGTTAGGCATTATCCTTTATATAGTTTGCACGTACTACCATTGTTACACATACAGAAGCTGTGGCTAATGTCAATTAAACACAAGCGCTAAGTTGCAGTGTGTCAGGTTCTTTCAGCCACTGATGAAAAGACTTTCTCACAACATGAATCATGTTTCTATCACATCATGAGGGGGTGCTGGAGCAGCCAGAGGCAAACAGACAGAATTTCTACGGAACATATTTCCTTTCCTTTTTCTTTTGATCAGATGAGCATAAAAAACCACTGAACAATAACACAGGGTTAATTGAGAACTCATTACGGGGAGATAAATAATAGGATCAAATTACCTGTTGTTCCAGTGAAAGAGAAAAATTGTTTTTAGTCTAAAGAATTGAAGTTAAACCTGTTATTGACAACAACACTTGTCAATAACAACCTTTGTATACAAACTGAAAGTTACGTGACAATATGAACACACAAACAATTTTGTTTTTGTTCTGTAGACATAAATGCTGAGCACATTCTTTTACACGAAACAGGTGTACAGCAAATTCTAAAGAAGTCACATACATGGACTGTATATCCCTCCCACAGTCTTTCTGTTCTGAAAAGGAAATACAGTATGGTGTCAAATTTCAAGAAGTAAAAAGTATATAAAAAAGAACCACTGTCACCTGTAGAGCGTCAATGGAACATCTCGCTACTTGAGGTAAATTTATATTCTCACAATAATAATGATAGTAGATATTCAAAAACATGTTTTTAATTACAGCTATAATGTTTCCTTTTTGACTTTATGGCTGAACAACATTAAATAAATATAAAAAACTTATTGAGGTATTGACAGTGACATCATGCAGCAGATGATGATTACTGGCAGAATAAACATGAATTCAATGATAATACAATCTGTATCGTAACTCTACATAGATGAGCAACATAGAAATCATACATACAGATATTGTATAATTTGCATTATTTATACAGTATTTCATGTTTCACTCTAGTGTTTCCTAATGTCTTCTGTTCTCTTTCTTAGGGCACAAGATTGTGACATTGTTTAAAAGGTACATTTTGCTTTCTTAATTTGAATTTAGCTTTTTTTAATTTCTTTACTAAAACTATGCCTCTTTTAATTATACAAATGGTATAAAATGAAATAAACTTTTTAGTGCACCAGTGACAAGTATATGAATTTTAATTATGATACTGTGAGATTGTAAAGAGACATTTTCTTTACCATAAGTAAATAAAGTAAAGTACATTTGTATTGTGGTGTGCAGAATTCAATTCAACTTAAATTTAAGGTGATCATGGGTGATGTGTTTACACTCTCTGCTTGTCTTTTCTCTTGGTTCACAGAGTACAATGAGTCTGTGTAGATGCTTTGGATTCTTGCTGTTTGTCCTCCACAGCCTCCCAGGCACCACAGGTAAACTCACACACAATATATATATATCTATATATATATATACACATGTTTGTTCTTACATTGTCTCATATATCATATACAACATATATGTGCACATTTCTTCTTCATGTCCATGTGATACCAATGCCTTGTCATGGGAATTTCCTCCAATTTACACTAGCACAGTTGATGTCAAACAAAAAGGCTGACACTTCTGGCTCGTAGCTGAAGCAAAGCGCTCTATAAGCAGAGAGCAGTAAACATCTCCTGTTGCAGAGTCATATCTATGTTCTGTCCTATTTACTGGAGGAGTGAACAACATTTCCACTGCATTAGAACGTTATGGGAACACGGAGTTATGGCTTGTAAAAAACTTTTAATGGACTTGGCAGAAGCCATTCATTCCTGATAGCGGACACCTCGTCTGGCATTAACCTTTACATATTTTGCACTTATTACCATTGTTACACATACAGAAGCTGTGGCTAATGTCAATTAAACACAAGGGCTAAGTTGCAGTGTGTCAGGTTCTTTCAGCCACTGGTGAAAAGATTTTCTCACAACATGAATCATGTTTCTATCACAGGTCATTCTGTGGTGGTTAATATATCTCAGCCAATAGTGGCAATAGTAGGTGAAGACACCATCCTTCCCTGCCACCTGGATCCTGCCGTAGATCCTGCCTCGACGACTCTAGAGTGGTCCAGACCTGACCAGGGACACAGATTTGTCCATGTGAGGCATGAAGGCGAGGACGCACTGACTGATCAAAACCCGTCTTACAAAGGAAGAACGTCAGTGTCCAACAACACACTGAAGCAGGGAGACGTCTCACTGAAACTCTCCAGAGTGGAACTCTCTGATAACGGGACATACAGATGCTATATTCCAAAACTGAACAAAGAGTCTTTCATCAGTCTTGCTGTTGGTAAGTAGAAATATCACAATGTGATGAAATGCTCATTTTTAGGGAAAATGGATGATAACATAGTGGAGTTTTAAAGAATGACAAACAAGAACAAGGTGTTCACTTCTACATAAACACATTGCTGTTCTGTGTCTTATCGTTTCAGGTGACATGCCGCCTCCTGCTCATAAGATTGTTCTTGTGGTGGCAATACCCATCATGATCCTTAGTTTGATAGTTGTCTGTCTGACCTGTGACAAAAGAGCAGATGATGCTGAAGGTTCTGGTTCTAGGAGATGTCGAGAGTATTGTTCTGACTGTCCTGAATGTTGTCTTAAGACGTGTAATTACTGTTGTGAAATCTGTATGGAGTTGCCTTCTATAATCACATAGGAAGCTTTACTGGCAGAAAGACGATTCTTGGTTTATATTAGTGTATAATCACCTTAAAATAAGAATCATTGTGTTTTTGTTGCTTTAGAATGAGCTGTTTTCTACACAGGGAGCGGAGCCTCTTGTACTGAATCCATTATGTTGAACTGCCATGTTCTATCTATAAGTATGTCTGGTCACTCAGTTTGGTGTCAAATGTAACACATTATTTAGATTCATTTTAAAATGAACAGGAATTAATTTAATGATCCATTATGGGTGAGTGAAAAAAGAACATAAAGAATTATAGAAGGAATTATATGAACAGGACAGCACTTTTTTAACCTAAGAATGAATTTGAACTGTCACTGGTGTTAAATATAAATGATGTTATAATGTATAGAATAATGCAGTTTAATGACTGTACCCACTGTCCTTTAAATAACAGTCACATTGTGAAACCTACAATATAACCCAATGTATGTATATTAGATTGTAATGTGCATGGAATAATGGAATTATACATACATTTTATTTGTTTTGATATCTGCATTAAATATCGACCATCAGCTTGCACATTAAACAGAGGCCATTTTATAAACCATTAAATGCATAAATTGAGTCTTTAGTAACTGGGACTATATTCCACTCTGTCTCATTCATCCATTTCATTCAATTAGGCAATAAGAACTGAACTCTCTGGTAGACAATGTTCTGATGTCAGAATGTGTTTTTCTTCTCTAAAGGTTCATACAGTCAGTACAGACTGAAGGTATATGAGAGCTTTACATTTGTATTCACTGTAAACTGGATGACGATAGCAGCTAACTTCTCCTGTCTGACCTCATGGTGGCGCTGTGTATCATTAAGTACCATCTGCAAGTACTCAGTTATAATGTATAGAATAACGCAGTTTAATGACTGTACCCGCTCTCCTTTAAATACATAAACACATTGCTGTTCTGTGTCTTATCGTTTCAGGTGACATGCCGCCTCCTGCTCATAAGATTGTTCTTGTGGTGGCAATACCCATCATGATCCTTAGTTTGATAGTTGTCTGTCTGACCTGTGACAAAAGAGCAGATGATGCTGAAGGTTCTGGTTCTAGGAGATGTCGAGAGTATTGTTCTGACTGTCCTGAATGTTGTCTTAAGACGTGTAATTACTGTTGTGAAATCTGTATGGAGTTGCCTTCTATAATCACATAGGAAGCTTTACTGGCAGAAAGACGATTCTTGGTTTATATTAGTGTATAATCACCTTAAAATAAGAATCATTGTGTTTTTGTTGCTTTAGAATGAGCTGTTTTCTACACAGGGAGCGGAGCCTCTTGTACTGAATCCATTATGTTGAACTGCCATGTTTCCTACACATTTGGAAGGGAGGGTGATGCAAGCGGTATTAAGTGATGCAAGCAGTATTCATTCACTAAATGTGTAATTTTACATGCATTTATTATGCATCATCTTGTATTGCCTCTGTGCTCAAAGGTTTCATACAAGTAAAGTTGTCTTGCTTGCTCACTTGTAAAATAAGTGTGAAAAAAATATATTTTATCTTCTATCTAATTCTATTTGATGTCTGACTTTTATTTTGACATAAAAGATTCTACAAATGTCTGTTTTGTAGTTATTTAATTTGTGTATAAACAGTTATGTTAATTTTAACATTCCTTTAAAAAATGGGATAATATTTCGGTTTTTCCGTCAGTTTATTCTAATTTCAACAATGCTGCTCATCAGATCTTTTACTTTTCCAAAACTGTCCATCTTCACCTTGGCTCCAAGTTAGTCAGTTACTCACTGACTAAGAGTAACAAATGTCAAAAATTATTAAGTATAAAACTCAAACTGTTTTTTCAAAGAAAGAAAAGACTACCAATCAGTGCTTATATCTCACTGAAAACTAAAACCCAAACTAGATATTCAGGACTACTGATACAAGATAGTAACGGTGAGATTATTACCACCTCAACAATGTAACAATTAGGACTATAAACATAAGTAAAAAACAGAAAGCCAACTAATGTTTTCTTACAGGAGCCCTTTATATTACAACAAAGTAGTTCAAACTAGGGGAAACAGTGATACTTTTTTCATATTACTTAAAGCAAACAATGACCTCTTACAGTCACTTATAAGCAGCTTGTAATGAGTTGTATTACACCAAATGTCCTCAAGTGTAATCATATTATTAATCAAATTTTGGTTATTACTTCCTGGGTACCATCATAACCCCCCATAACAGAGGATGTACTTCTTGTGGCAGCTGTGGAAGTTTAACCCGCCAAACACGATGATGGTATACTTCTACAAAGGCAGACTGCCGCGTATCATTCGCTACGCAGAGAAGGTGATCGTGTGACGGATAGAATAATATGTAATACCAGTAAGTCAAAGCAAGTAATAGAGTAACATTAAATGTCCTCATCTTTAGTATTTTTTCATTTTATATCATAGTTTATGGTTATAATGTTTATTGTCAGTTGCAGCAGTTACAGTACAGTAGCTTTGTGTTTTCTTATATTTATGTTCCAATTGTCTAATACCAGCAGTAGTAAGGGTGGTTGTAGTTACCAGAGGACTCCAGCAGGGAGAGCACAAAATTGTTGAGCTATGTGCAACTTGTTTCCTCTCTTAAGTCGTTACACACATGATCTGAGGAAAGTTTGTGTCTGTGCATCATTTAAATACAAATACTCCCCTTTTGTTCAGGGCTTTTACAATCGGCTGCAATTTGTCATCCCTCCAGGAAACTGTATGCCCTGTATAAATTGAGACGGACCCCTATCACCTCAGACACAGACTCTTTCTTTCCTCTGTAAAAACTTACTTGGCAATAAACCTGATTCAGATTCTGATTCTGAATAAGATGACTGTTCATCCATGAGAAGAAGGTTAGGAGCCAGGAGTCAACAGAAACAACCTCTCCCTGTTCCTTTATGTGCACACACACATTAAACACTGGTGGACACACACTGTCCTTTGAGGAGGAAAGTGTCTCCTCCCTCGTCTCCAGAGGTGCAGCTGGACATTTGATGATGTGTATTTTAACCTAACTGCTGTTTCTTGTTTGTTCTTTTGTTTTCCTCGCAGCAAACTCACAGTTGATTTGTTCACATCAACCAATCACAGCCCTGCCCGGTGATGATGTCATTCTACCATGTCACCTTGAACCTCCCATCAGTGTTTCTGATGAGACAGTGGAGTGGACCCGACCTGATTTAGACCCAAATTACATCCACCTTCACCAGGATGGACGACTGATGTTTGACTATCAAAATCCATCTTATCATCTCCGCATGAGACTGTTTATGGATGAACTGATGACAGGAAACGTCTCCATGAAAATATCCAAGTGAAAGTTTCTGATACAGGAAGATACCAATGTGCCCTTCCCTCATTACAGAAGGAAGCTTCCATCCAGCTCATTGTTGGTGAGTCAGACTGGGTTTTATAAAAGCAGAACATTGACTGAACAAAAGCACGACTCATAACACAGAGATTCAGTTGAACAATCAATTCCTTTACTTAGCAAAGTGCAGAAGTACACAGAAAATCCAACAATAAGGCAAACAAGTCCAAAATCCAATAACCAAAGCTCATGAAACACAAAGGAATGCTGGGACATTTGATCAGAGACACAAAGACAAACAGAAGGGAGGAAACACTGAGACTATATATTACACAGGTGTGAGGGTAAGCAGGTGATCAGGGCGGAGCAAAGAATGACAACTAGAGGGAAAGACACAGAGACAGGAAGTGAAAGGAGAGGGAGAGGTAGGTACAAAATAAAACAGGAAACACACACAAAATGGAACTTCAAAATAAGACAGACTATGGTGACTGATGAGCAATGACAGATCTATCTGTAAGTATGTCTGGTCACTCAGTTTGGTGACACATTATTTAGATTCATTTTAAAATGAACAGAAATTAATTTAATGATCCATTATGGGTGAGTGAAAAAAGAACATAAAGAATTATAGAAGGGATTATATGAACAGGACAGAGACAGAAATGTTTTTTTAAAGCTAAAAATTAATTTGAACCGTCACTGGTGTTAAATATAAATGATGTTACTAATACTGTACTAATGAAATATTTCAATATCAGTGTTTAATGATTCTGTAACAGGAAGTGTAAATATGATGTTTGTCTCTGCAGGACAGTCTAATGTGATTGGCTCAGACAAACCAGTTACAGTTCAATGTTAGTTTCTGTTCAATGGGCTTTGCCATAACTGAGTGAATGTGTGTGAAAGGGTGAACGTGGCACGTAGTGTAAAAGCGCTTTGAGTGGTTGGAAGACTAGAAAGGCACTATACAAGTACAGGTCCATTTACCACTTTGACATGCAGCAAGAAGAGCCAGGGATCAAACCAACAACCTTCTGATTAGTAGACAACCCGCTCTACCTCTGAGCCACAGCCTCCCATAACTTAACCAAATGGTTTAAATGTCTAAACTTAAACGTGTGTTAATCAGAGCGGTCAAAGAACAGAAAATGCTCATGGGACATTTTGGAAGGCACTGACTAATAACTGGTTTTGTGTCTAACAGCGACGGACTGTGCAAGACCAAACACTACAGGACGCAACGGGCAGAACAGGGAAGGTAGTCAGGAGGACAATGCAGAAGACAATGCAGAGGACAATGCAGAGGACAATGCAGTGCAATGATATAAAAATGACAGAAGTTCTTTTTGATATTTGTTGCGATTGGTAACTTTTATAAAAATAACTTTTAAGTGTTGGTATTTGATTACCTGGGAATTAACAATCGGTTATCTTTCTTGCCTCTCATTGGTTGTTTTTGTTCAGGTGGATTATTGCAAATAGCATTAGGAGCACTAGGAGGAGCGGATTATCTGTCTGTCTATTGTCAGGATGTAATGAAAGCTTCAGAAAATACGACAAAAAGTTATTTTTATCTAAGTTACCGATCGAAGCTTTAACCTTCACATGACTATATCTGTTTTTATTTTTTATTCATTGTCCTGCTCTATCTAGTCCAGTGTGTAACATTCAGGAGGATCTGTTGGCATAATAACGTAATATTCATAGGAATGTTCTCCTAAAACAATGATACCTGTTATCATTGTTTCTCCTACACTCTTGGAAGGCAAATTGAATTCAAATGATTAGACTGGTTCCCAGTAAATCCTTCACACTGGACCTTTAATAGTGTGTTTGTAGTGCGCCTCATGTTATCTAGCTTCTTTTTCTACTTCAACATCTATTTTAAAAAGCACTATACTGTATATATAAAATGGTTCTAGTTTTATACCAGCATGCTCAAAATCACACATGGAGGGTCATTTTTATAAACTGAAACATCTGGACACTAAGAGACTGAAATATCATCCTGAAACTGTGATTGTTGTTTGTTTATGAAAATAAATGTATTTTTTAACTTGTTCATGGCCTTTTTCTTACATTTTTAATTGATCAACATTTCCTCCCTCATTAAAGGACTTTTGGTTTAACACCAGTTCCTGAATTGGGCTAAAAAAGGTGCAAATTCAGCACAATCCTAACCACAACTTACCTGTAACCAATACTTTTTGCTGTTTTCTCTGCATTAAACTAGCTATGTGTTTACAAAGAGACACAGTTACACAGGCAATAATTACCCCCTGTATTCTCCCCCTATTCTGCCCCTCACATTTATTTTTTCTAACTGTAACCATTTCTATATGGCTCTGATCCTAACCAACCAACCAATGAAGGCAATGAACACGAGCCAATCAGAGGAGTGTTCTTATGAGGGGGCTGAGGAGTGTATACCTAGACTCACCAGGAGGTGGCACCACACAGTCAGAAGTAAGGGTGCTCATGTGGACAGAAATCACAAGTCCTCAGTACCTGTGAGCACTGGCTCCATTTCAGGCAGTAAAACTCATTTACATTCTGCTCCCAGTTACCATTTTAGTTCAGATGTTACTAAGTTGTTTGTTGTTGTGTCTTTTTGTGCTGTTGTGTTTTAAATAGTTTTTTGAGGAGTAGATTCCTTAAAACGTGTGTGTGTGTGTGTGTGTGTGTGTGTGTGTGTGTGTGTGTGTGTGTCTTTGCAAATCCAGTAAGCTTGGCCCTGACCTCTGACCCCTTGTGGAGGACGCCGGCAGATCAATACTTTCTGTTATTATTAGGGTTTTGAGAAGTGTTCTTACCTCGAGCCCAGCTTCTGTACGTCTATATACAGAAGATGAGTATGGCATTGTAGAGGATGAACAGCAGGATGGCACACACCAGGTTGGGCAGAGACATCAGAGGAGGAGGAGGAGGAGGAGAAAAACCTGTAGAGCCAGAGTTTCAAACATGAAACATAATCAGTTCTGTTCTTATTCAAATATCTGCATGTGAATACAGAATCTGGAGGCAAGGGACAAGATTTTGGTAAGGTTAGCAGCTGTGGTTTATTTTTGTAGTGCGAGTTGTATTGACCAATCATGTTTGAGCGGGCTTTGGTTGCCTGCAGGTGAACAGTCTGTATGGAGATGGAGCAATCTCAGAATCCGGCTGTCATCTTCCAAAGATGGACCACTTTATTAGCTTTTTAAAAATGGATGTATATCTGTTTATAGAGATCATCTGAGATTAACCCACATGATTAGCTTGTGTCTCAAGTCGCTAATGGGACTGTAAACAATAACCGGTGCGTGGAAGAGGAAGACTTGGATATCCGTTATCCCCAGAGGCTAAATCGAGGCCAGACGATAACTGAGACTGCTGTAATTCAAATGCATTAAAAAACAAAACAAATTAAAACAATGAATATTGAATATTTGTTCAAGTTTTTTAAATTTGAAATTCAGTTGTTCATTGAAGGGACAATGATGGCTAACGTCTCAACAACTCTGCGGGTATGTGAAGCTGCCGTGGTTAAGTTTTAGACAGCAGAAATCACAGCTAGAAAACTTGAAGACTTACTAGAAGACTAATTACTGAAGAGTAGAGCTTTGGTACATATCATGGACATGGGCTGGGGATGAAGAACCCACAAAAATTTGCACTGACTCTGCAGCTTTACAGCACTCCTTAACCTCTTTATGTCATTGTTTTGGTTTCACAGCACATTAATGAAGCTACAACATCGTTGATATTTAAAAAAACTATTATTCAGCTTTTGAAGATGAAGATTAAATACCATTGTGTAAAAACACACAATAAACCTGCCACAAGAAAAGCTATCTGAGTCACATTTCAGTGAAACAGGATGTAGAGAAACTACATAAAGACATTGATAGACTCAAACAAAGTTAGACTATACTCATCATACTTCACCATGAAACTAACAATGTGATGTGACAGCCCCAACCACATCTTTTCACTTCTTCATTCGATTTTTCTGAGTGGGAAATAAAAATCAGCTTGTAAGTTCACAATTGGCCTAAATTAAATAATACATTTATTTATAAGCGCTTTTCTAAATACTCAAAGACAAAAGTAAATTATTGCTAATTAAGTTGTGATTCATGAATTTCTTAAATAAAAGGGGGGTGCACCACAGAGGTGAGTTACAACCTCTACCTAGCTGCATAGTAACCATGACGATGGGACTCGTCTTTGACCAGCCACTTGACCACCATCTGCTGGTATGATGGAAGACCTGCAACCACTACAGGAAGACCCTGAGAGAACATTTACAAGATAATATGAGTTTAACAGGAACATTATTCAAACCAAACAAACTGGAAATCATTTCTGTAAATAACACTGATGAATAAGTTTTTTCTGTCACAACATTTGACCTTCTGAAACTGTCAGTCTTCATTACTGAACAACAAAGACTCAGTATCCACTTTATTAGGTACTATAAGACAACTGTTCTGCCATAAAGTTGACTTTATAATATCCAGAGGTGTTAACTCAGTTAGGCTACATGCCTATTACTGAGGTTCATTATTAAAGATAGTTTGTACTGGACTATATTCTATTATATTGAAAGGGGGGCAGAATATTGTAACATGTCTGAATATGACTACTTTCAGTGACCTCAATACTAAAACATAGAATTGACTGAACAGCTCTTTTACAGTGTGAACAAAAAACTGAACATAAAATCAATTTTATATTATAATATATCGGACTGTATTAGACAGTTTCAACCCCAATTTGCTTCAGGTTCTCAGCCTTTTAAGGACGTGACCAACAGAATAACCGGATCAGGGTTTCTTCCAGAGACTCTTCAGGCATTGCTGTAATGTAACACATGAAAGCAACAAAACTCAGGAACACAGAAGATAATTGCTTTAAGAGCAACTGGTTAAATGTTGGCTTTAATACATGCTTTTTATTTATTGAAATAACAACAGTCAACATGTCTGCTTTAGGCCTAAGAGCTCAATAAAAGATAGAAATAAATGCTCATGAGGAAACTGGCCCTGTTAACATGTATAAAAACAGAGTTTATAGCCTATAGTATTCTGTGTTTTTAAGTTCTTGTCCTCTGTGTTCAGTGTCGCTGGATGTCACAATATCTTATTTTATTCTCTACAACTATACGGCGACCCCTCTGGAAATTAACTAATGAACCTTTGGGGGTCCCAACCCCCAGGTTCAGAGGCAGCAAAACTGTACATTTTCTATTAATGTTAATGCTTTGTATGTTATTGTTCATCCTGAGCTGCAGCAGGCCCTGATGTAAAAGCTTTTTGCAATTTTTTTAGTGCACTTTATGTATAAACCTCCTGTTTCATTATTTTTATGGTTACTATTTATAACAATGAAATAAAGATGATGTCTATTTGTATCATGTGGTTATTTTCTAATTTATTGTCAGCTTCCCTGCCACACTGGCCCACATTTGTTCCAATATTTAAAAAGCTACAGTCATCACAGTTTTAATTTTGTGTCTTCAGATAAACCATGTGTTTGAATACAAATGAGTCATCTGCTGGCAGTTATTGTCTCACAGCACGGAGAAAGTGAAACTAAAGTTCATTCATGGTCGGAGAGAGTTCAGCTGTACCGTGTATTTCTTTCATCTTAATCTTTCACACAGTGTGACATGAGCTCTCTGAGATCCACTGTGTCTGTTCTTCATCCAGAGATCATGATGGAGTTCTTTATTGTGGTTTTGCTGTCTTCTCTCCCTGCGGTGGGGGTTACAGGTGAGATTGTCCTGCTTTAGTGAACAGGTAACAGACAGTACTGGATTCAGCTCTTCCTGCTTTTTGATGTGGTTAAACAATCTCAGACTGTTACAGTTAAATGTTTTTCTAAAACCAGCTTGTTAATGCAGAAAAAGTAATGCTGAGAATCAAACGCTGTTCTGTTTCGGCTTCAAGGCGGGAATTCCCTTTTTGTTTTTTGGTTTTATCAGCACGTAGCCATTTTGAACGCATTCAGTCATAAACAATATAATCAGATGGTGTTATCAGAACTCAGTGGACTATGTACACGGTCCGTGTATGTTTTGGTCATTGGATTTTCCTTTCAGAAACGGATATTAAAAAACAGAAAACGAGTGGTTATTTGATTTTCGTTTTAAAATACAAAAATTAAAATTGAAATACAAGGCGTTTTTCCTTTTTCATGGTCAAAAAGGGATGAGCGAAATTTAAAAAATGATTCGATTTTCATTTTCTATTTCATATAACAAAAAATAAAATCACTAGAAAACTGAAACGGAAAAAAGGCCTGTTTTTTCATATTCTGAGACCGGATGTTGTCATTAACAGGACGGTGCTGTGTAGAAGAAACAGTGGGCTAGTAGACTGCGGTCAATCCAGCCGTGAGTCCGATCTCCATGGTCAAATCAGCCGCACTTAAATTTAGAGTGTACAAGTATTCTCAGCATTATGGTAAATTCAGAGAAACAGCGTATTTACTTCCGGTTTTCAAAATAAAGGTATTTAGAGCCGTAAGCTATAATTAAAATATGTTACAGTAAAGTGTTTCATGCGCCCCTGATGAATAAAAAAACACTTTATATCAAGTATCTTTACTGCACCAGTGTGGAGAAATACCAAAATAAAAGTCTCATATTTATGCCTCCAGAGATTGCATATTTGACCATATTTGAGGCACTGTAAAAACATATTGCTCAGTGTTTCCTGGCTACTGATGGTATATTTGACTTTTACACATATGAGACTACAAACACACTTAATATCAAGCATTTTTACTGTACCAATGTGGAGAAATTGAAGAATAAAAGTCCATATTTATACTTCCAGATTCCATATTTTCTTATATTTTTGAGCTACTGTAAAAACATATTGCTCAATATTTCCAGGCTATGGGTGAAGCATTTTCATTATACTTCAATAATGCTGCAGTAATCGTGAAAAATTTCACACAAATGTTTAATACATCTTGATAATATAAACACTAAACATAAAATCCTACACATTTCTAATTTGTTTACTTTTCACACAAAATGCAATGCCAGTCCACATTCTTCTTATTTTGCTGCTCTGCTGTGTCCATTTGTAGGTAAAAGGGAAAAAGAATTAGTTTTAACTTCAAAACACCATTGTACCTACTGTCTCTTCCTCACATATTATTTTTTATATTATTCAGTGTGACAGCTGTTGCAGGTGGTTCCACATACAGTTTACATTTTTACAGTAGCTCAAATATAAGAAAATATGGAATCTGGAAGTATAAATATGGGACTTTTATTCTTCAATTTCTCCACATTGGTACAGTAAAAATGCTTGATATTAAGTATACTTGTAGTCTTAGATGTGTAGAAGTCAAATATATCATCCATAGCCAGGAATTATTTATTTCAATTTTAATTTTTTTATTTTAAAACGAAAATCAAATAACCACTCGTTTTCTGTTTTTTAATACCCGTTTCTGAAAGGAAAATCCAATGACCAAAACATACACGGACCTTTGTCACTCATTAGTTTATTTCCAGCTGTGTGAACACAGGTTGTAGGTTGCAATGCCACAGTGTGCACACAGATACTGTATTTATTGTTCAGAGGATCCGATACAACCTTTCTATGAGTAACTGGTTGAACCGGATTAACCACTGATGTGCCAGTCGGTTTATGCAAACCAACATTTAGAGGAAGTTATATTTTTTTCAGCACTTTATGTATAATGTGTTACGACTGTTTGAAGCGATCAGCTTAGTTGATTAGTTCACACTGAATAGATCATCAGTTAAAGAAAGTTAATACACAAACATATTCATATATCTGTGAGCCCTGTGTAGAGACTTAAGAAATATGACTCAGTTAACAGATAATAATCTCTATCTCTCTCTCTCTCTCTCTCTCTCTCTCTCTCTCTCTCTCTCTCTCTCTCTGTGTGTGTGTGTGTGTGTTTGTTTTTAACGTAACTGCCTTTATTGGCATGAACTTTTTAAACAAACATTTTGCCAAAGCAAAAAGTCTATAATATTAATCTTTCTTATACAATACAATAATTTAATACTAATAACACAATGGAATGTAATGAAAATAAATCTATCTCTCTCACACAAACACAAAGGTTTTCGATAAAAGAAGAAAAATAATTCAGAATGTACCTTTAATTTTTCGGTATATATTTAAAATGTAATTTTAAATATATACTTCTAAGATTTCTATGTGCTCATGTTATGTAAACTATTTGTGATATATTGTGATATATATTGTTATCAATCCTATATAGAATGACATATAAACCAATATATACAGTCATTTATAGGAAATAGTTGCAAATAATGCAGTTTTCAGACTCCACCACATTTAGGCCACATAATGTGGTCTAAACTGTTCATCCATGAGAAGAAGGACTCAACAGAAACAACCTCTCACCTGTTCCTTTATGTGCACACACACATTAAACACTGGTGGACACACACTGTCCTTTGAGGAGGAAAGTGTCTCCTCCCTCGTCTCCAGAGGTGCAGCTGGACATTTGATGATATGTATTTTAACCTAACTGCTGTTTCTTGTTTGTGTTTGTTTTTAAACCAGTTACAGTAACAGTCGGTGATAACGCCATCCTGCCATGTTACCTGGAGCCTCCATTCAATGTGAGGACTCTAACGGTGGAGTGGAAACGTGATGGACAATCTATCCATGTCTGGCGACAAGGGAAGGACTATCTAGATCCTCAGGATGAGAACTTCAGAGGTAGAACATCTGTCTTCCATGAAGAAATGATCAGAGGAAACATTTCACTAAAACTGACCAACGTAACTGAACTGGATGCTGGAAGTTACACCTGCTTTGTTCCCAAACTGCAAAGTCAGGTCAGGAGAGGCTTCATTAACCTCACTGTTGGTGAGTACAGCTAACATATTACACATTAAAATGAAATAAGAGGAAATGTTTTTAGCTCTTAAACACAGTTTACACATTTACAATTTAACACAACTGTCCAACAGAGCCAGTGGAGAACGGGAACAAAGAAAGTCAAACTGGTGTTATCAGTAAGTAAATATCTTATGTGTCTCCTCATCAACTGTCATCTCCTGTTGGTCTGAATGTTATCACATATTTTAATATTTTATTTCATTGTTTCCACAGACACAGAGCCAGGTAAGTGCTGTCTTTACTGCAGTCCACAATGTACACAGATATCACTCCTGTTTCTCTCCTCCTTACAATATGAACCTGAGAATGAGCATAATATGACCTCTTTAACCTCAAAAGTAATCAGAGTAATTCTGAATGTAATGCTTCATTTGACAGGATGCCATTCTAACAAATAATGAACTCATTCATCATCTCAGAGCACACTGATAGAGGACTACTGAAAGGTCCAGTGTGTAACATTAAGGAGGATCTATTGTCACCACCATGTTTCTACAGTAGCCCAGAACACATTTGGAAGTTTTATTCACTTGTTTGCAATCTGTAACTTCACCACTAGATATCACTGAATCCTCCACAGCGGTCCTTTAAATAACCCTGGATCCTCGTATTTCTGGAGAATATTCTTACTGATAATACTGTTTGTTTACTGTTGTGCAATGAAAGAGATTCTAACCAACAGACAGTTTTGGTGGGATGGACTCCAAGTACACATTGAGACCATGAACAGGAGAAGTGGCTGTGGAAATATTGTTGATGGATGTTATCTTGATACAGTGAAGAACAAATCTCAACATCTTTCCTCTGTTCTTTCAGATGGTGACACTGGTTTGAGCCCTGGTGCTATAACTGGCATTGCTATTGGTGTCATTGCTGTCATTGTTGCAGTTGCTGTATTGATGAAACGTAGAAAGATCAGTAAGTCAATAATCTTCTCTCTCTCCATTTCCTCCATAAAAAGACAGTTTACAGTTTTTCAGTCAGTCTTCAAACAACAGTGAACAGTGAAACAGGTTGTTCTTGCTGTAATGGTTCCTCCTGTTATACTGGACATTAAAGATCTCTTCCTAAAGTACTTTCAATGGAAGTGATGAGGGGAACAATCTACAGTCCTCCTTACATGGAAACATGTTTTCAGCAGTGTATCTAAAGCTAATATCAGCTAATATATGTTTATAACTCCATCATTTATTTAGAAATCATTTATTGGGGGGTCTGCACCCTGCCTCTCATGTACAGTGTGTCTGAGCTTTCTCACTATCCTGCTGTCTGATTATGATGGTTGATCTGGGACAAGCTCCTTTACTTGTAGTTCCTCACTGTCAATAACAACAAGTGTCATCACTCCACTGCTGACTGACTCTGCTTGGGCTGATAAAATAATCGCCCTTTTCACATCCTATTCTCACTTTTCCTGCTTTATTCTTTGCTGATGATGTTACTCTGCTACAGGAGACTGTGTTGAATGCTGCCATTTAATCATATTTTCCACAGATCTTTAACCAAGTGGTTTTAATGTCTAAACTTAAACACGTGTTGATCAGAGCGTTCAAAGAACAAAATGCTCATGGGACATTTTGGAAGACACTGACTAATAACTGGTTTTGTGTCTAACAGCGACGGACTGTGCAAGACCAAACACTACAGGACGCAACGGGCAGAACAGGAAAGGTAGTGAAAAGGACAATGCTGAGGGTAATATAGGAGAATATAGGTATGCTCAATTTAAGAAACGTCAGCTATCACTTGATGATAACGCTTGATTCTTTGACCCAGATACTGAATGAAAGGCTTTTATTCCATCCACATATTTTTATGTTCAGAAGTTCTTCCTGATGTGTTGATTGTATAAACCACTGCAGGGACAGAGTTGGTGTCTCAGGACCTGGTTTTAACTAGAATGAGTCTTATCTGTCTAATTGAACCTTCTCAGTGTCAGTTTCCAGCTCCCTCTAGTGACTTGTTACTGTATAGGATTCATTGACTAGAGGGGGAAATAAAAGGCACTTAATGACTGTTATTATTTTAAGGTAACTATATATATATATATTTCTATATTTGGGTTTTATATATATATATATATATATATATATATATTGATTGTGTGTTTTGCTTCATGTTATCTTGTGTTACTGTCCTGTAGAGAATCACATTGTACTACTACTAGAATTAATGTTATATAAAGTTTATTGTTCTTATTCAACCTTTGTATTTGCTCAAATATTCACAACCAAAATCACACATTGGACACTAGGAGGATGAAACTGTGATTGTTGTTTAATAAAAAGGTTTTTAACTTGTACCTGACATTTTTTTCTTATTTGGTCTGATATTTTGGGGAAGTGCAGAATCTTTAAGTTTATTGCAGCGGACCAATTAATGTTCTACGACACTGAACTGAAAGAAGAAAATCACAGTCAGTCTTTTTTGTTAGAATGTTATTGTGTATATCTCTCAGTAATTAATAGTAGAATATTTAAAGGATATTAATGTACATTTTAATGCACAAACAGAATGATGCAAACAATATCCCAGAGGTTACAAACATTAATACATTTTGAGATGCAACTGTGAGTCATTTCCAACATCAATCAGACTGTCAATTGATCAAATCAATACATTAAATAGTCCAAAATAAAATAAATATTTGGGTTCAAAACAACCAGCCGACCACCAAATTCCAAAATCAAATTCCTAATAATGATAATAATTTGCAGTAGTAGTTATATGACTACAAAGCATGTCATTGAATGTCAAATAACAGATTTGATTTAACTGGACAACTAGAATATCATCATCACTAATTCCCCAGGGAGAAAGTAAAGCCATGTGCATAGAAATTATATTTGAATATTTAAAAAATGCAACAATGAGTAATTTGACATTCATATTTTAATTAAACAGCAGCCAATCAGAAGCGTCAAACAATAACATAAGACCTTTCATTAATTTAGTTGCAACTGAAAACCAGAGCTGCCTGTGGACCTGCTGAATCCCTGCTCACCTCCTGTAGATATGTTGTTGGAAAGTAAGAAGAATGGAGTAGTGTTACAGTGTGTGAGACGTTGGGATGCCTTCAGGGGAAGTCCGACTGCAGAAACCCGTCTTCCAAATGTGTAACCACAATGTGGCTTTAACGGTTCAGGAGAAAAATGATTTTTTTTAATGAGGAAGAAATTCCTCCACAGGTCATACCAAGAAAGAGAGAGTGTCCGTTTCTATGAGTTTACATATTTTATATCTGTTATATGTCTATTTGTCTGTTGTTAAGATTGTTGAAAGTGTTCTCATGAAAAGCAGGAGAGCCCCGTCTGGAGGATTGTTATGGATGAATTAGTGCATCAAAAGTGAAACCAACGTGGCTTATGCTTGTTCCAGCATGTAAGAATGAAGCCATTACCGTCAACGGACTTTATTTGGACTCAGTCCAATGTTACAGTTTTTTACGATTGTTTACACACTAAAATAAAAATGTCCACATAATTTGCGAAATTCTACTCCAAGGAGCAAAACACCTCCACAGATTTGCACAACATTACACACAATGTCTGCTTCACCCTTTTTGAAAAACAGTACACACAGTGATTTAGAAAAACTCTACACACATTTTCACACCTTAGACACAGATAAGGATTGTGAGGTTACTTCCTTGTCATTACAAAGCCCCGGACTGCCAATGACCACACTAATGAACAAACTGGATAATCACATCCACCAGGTGTGGAAGCACACATGTGCTAATTTGAAAACGCAGCACTCAACCAGACGGAGAGATGATGAATAGTTACAGTATTCTTGTTGCTTTTACAGTAGTTTTTCTTCAGAGTCAAAGTGTGTGTACTTCATGCAGTAATTTTTATTTGTCTACAGATTTTGTTTGTTTCATTGATTTCATTGTTGGTTGATTACTGTAACTGATTATGGTAAGAAATACTGTAAGTATTGAGATAAATACTTGAAATATTCAGTCTGCAGCATCAGTGTTGTGCAGTGCTTGGTAAGTTTATAGTAGGCCTATTTGTGTACGTTATCCCTATATCTCAAACTAATCATGAAGAATGTTGTGGGTTTGTCACTATTTTCTTTTACATCTAAATTATCCCTTACATAACAATGTCTGACCAAAAATCTAGCACATGCTATTTCCTCAAATTATTTTTTTTACAAATGTGTTTTTTATTTATCACAGCAGTGTGAAACTGGCTGCAATAGTGTCTGATCATTGAGGACTGTGTTGGTTAGATGAAAACTAATAGCATTTTCACAAATATGTGTATATGTTTTGTCATTTTGCAAACAATCTAGGAATTATGCAAGTTGAGTGTGGTGTTTGGATAATTGTGATTATATTTTAAAAAAAAAAATTGCGTGTAAACAATTGGAAAAAACTGTAATGACTGCAAGCATATGAACAGCTCTGTGATCAGCTTGACCAACTTATATTGTTGTTTAGCGCCATCTAGTGAGCTTTTAGATCTACAAGTTATTTTATACACACAAGATGTTATGTATTGTGTATGCTGTATTACACACACACACACACTCACACACACACACACACACACGCACGCTCACTCGCTCTCATTTTTATCAACAGTTTTTTCTTTCTTCCTGTGACAGAGTTGAACACAATATCAGTGATGATACCTGCAGGTTCACTTGTATTTTCTCTCCATACAAATGTAATACTGTTGTTTCACCAGCAGATGTCACCCTGATGACATTCTAAAACACTTTAAATCAACGTTTATTTATTTATTTATTTATTTATTAGTTAGTTTATGTAGCAGGGATTCTGCACATTGAGAAAACATTGCTGTAAACCCATCAAAATTAGTCAAGAGGCTGTTTCTCATGTGTAGTTCCACAATTAACGTCATTGATCGATCAAATCCATCCATTGTTACAGCAATTCACATCTCTAACATCAACAGCAGCAACAACAAAGATAAAGTGACAATTACATTACAGTATAGAATACATACAATAAAAAGTAATAAGCAAACATTGATATAAATAAATAAATAATAAAACATTGAGGTCTGACACAGCGTACCGGTAGAGCAGTTAACTAAACTGTCCTTTAATACATTCATAAATTACTCTTGTTTGCTTTTTGTTCGAGGGGCTTTTGTTACACTTGCAGTGGCGTGGTGAGTGTGCAGCTCTCCACCGCTGTCTGACCAGGAGCTCACTCCCCAACTCCATCAATGAGCCCATGACCCCGTCTCCAGTTCACAGCTTTTCCTTCATTGGACCACCAACTACGCCCCTGTACTCAGCCCCTTCCCCTCCCTGATGCAGCCCAGTATTAAAGAGTCATTGGAGAACTTCTGCAAGAGGACGGGCTCTTAGTTCAAGTCCTCCAGGATCAGGCTCAGGTTAACAATGTGATGAAGTACTCCACACAGCTGGGGGCCACATTACTGCAGCCTTACCTGGGTGGACACCACTCAGCTCACCTGCTCAGTACTCACCATGAAGGTCTCACTGCTGCTGATCCAGCTGGTTCACTTGTAGATGGAACTGCTGCTGGTTTGAGTCCCTGAACTGATGAGACAGATCCAAGAGAGGGAAACGTCTCCATTAGACTGGAAGTGGTTTGTTTGGGGCATCGTCATACTTCAGAAGCTGGAAGACAATGAACAGAAGTTTAATAATTAGTCAGCTGTTTCCTTAAAAAGTCTGGTATGATTTACACAACAAGGATTTACACTCACTTCCTGTTGTTTCTTGTGTTTAAGTAAATATCCACCGACTCCACCACCCAGGACCAGTAAGACCCAGACAACCACAACGATCAGAGCGCCCAGATGGGAACGACCAGCTGATGTGAAGAAAGCAAACAGAGAGAAAAGTTACAGTGACTGAAATAAACACAAAGTGTGATTCAGTTTCTGACAACACAGAAGATTCTTCACCTCTAACGTTCGTCTCATTGTTTGGATCTGCAAGTTGGAGATCTCTGTCATCCAGCGGCGTCTCTGTCGTCATTTGAACAGAGTTTGGTTCTGAAAAAACTGATTTATAATGATTTAAAACACAATATTAAAGAGAAACAACAATTATAGGACGACGGTCACATAAGTTGCTCACAAAATCATCCTCTAAGTTTTATGTCTCATTTTGATATTTGGACAGAAAATACAAACAGCTCGTCTGTTTACATCAGGGGCCACTGATGTAAACAGTGTAACCATCACCAGTCCAGTTATTGTAAAGAGGAGCAATGATGACTCCAAGTTATTACACTGATTCTACAGTTTTATTCACACTCATATAATATATTGATTATTGATGAATGACAGTACTGTAGTTTGTGAAGAGAGTTGATATTAACATTAATAGCATTAACAACATTCACATTACTATAACATTAAAATATTTATCTCCCTGTAATATTTTAATCTAAAAACACTTACCAACATTAAGTTTAATAACTGCAGAACTCCACAGCTGTAGGATCAAACATCTGTATATTCCCTGGTCAGACAGCTTCAGGTTGGTGATCTTGAGTGAAACGTTGCCGTGTTTCAGTCCGTCTGTGAACAGAGTCGTCCTCCCAACGTATGCTGACAGCTTCATGTCCTCTACGTCCTGGTTGTTATGGTAACGGTGGACATACTTGTACTCGCTCTCTGGGTCTCCAGGGTCATACTTCCACCAAGTCACCGTCATGTTCTCCACACTGAGAGGAGGCTCCACATGACACAGCAGGATGACATCATCACCCAGAGTGGCCACGATTGGCTGAAGAGAACCGACCACCTGAGGACGACCTGAGAAATGGAGGAACACTTCAGATGATTAGGAACATCATAAGGAAGTTTAATAAGAACTAGGACTGAAACTAGTATTTCTATCATTGATTTTTAACATCGTAATGACACTGGAATCAAAGTATTCTGCCCTTTTATCAGGACGTTGAATGTGTCCCCATCACCACAACATTCTCACACTTTAACATACTGTTACACATAACAGGTGAAACAAGGTTAGACAGACTTTGAACGTTGTATAAAGGAACAGGACAGGACGGGACGACGACGGGGAAAACAAACGTTGAAAACATAAAATGCAATTGGTCAGTGGAGAAAATAAAAAGTAAAATCTTGAATACAAAAACAAGTGTTAGATATCATAAAAAGTGCAAAGCAGCCTTTGTGTGGGATTCCAGTGTGTGTGTGTGTGTGTGTGTGTGCGCGCGCGCGCAATAGTAGTAACAAACATGATCTTACCTTCACTGGATGTCTGGACTCCCTCACTCAAACATACAGTCAAAGTCCACACAGGGAAAGTGAAGCCAAGCATAAAGTCCCTGAAGCACAGTCGACCCGACTGAGCTGATCTGAGGGGGTCCGATTTCATCCACTCTCTATGTAAATAGTTGAGTTCAGTTTAAAGCATGTGCCTTTTAATTAAGCTATTGATCGCGACATTAGGTGATTCCATTACATCATATAGTAATAGTTTTTATGTGTACCATTTATAGCCGGTCAGACTGGTGTTTCCTCATTCTACTTCTTGTTGGAAGTTGGTCGGGAGCTCCTGCACACACACAAACACACCCTGACATTGAGTCTCATCAATACTACATATGGTGTATTTGTTTTAAACAACTGTACACATTTCTTTTGGCAAATTCAGTGTTTTCTTCTTATTGATTGCTCGATCATTGATCTATTAGCTCTTTGGATATTTTAACTGTTTAAAAAAAAAAAAATACCAATCACAATTCCCTGAAGGTCACGTCTTTTAAATTGTGATAAAGTATCTGCACTAAAGAGGAACAAGAGGTCACAAGCTGAACACCAACAACAATACAGCCTCACAAACATTCTGTGTCTGTCCTCAGTTTACAGCACTGCCATTTAACTGTTGAGGGTGTGAACACAATCGATACATAGTTTTTTAATAATTGACACAATATCACAACAAACATTTATTATTCTTACACCCCTAATAATCAACAATTTGACACCTTAATGATTCAAATATCACACTGGAATTAAAGCTGAAGTCTGGCATCAGGCAGACCAAGGCTTTAGTAGAGGAAACAGTGGAACCATTATCTCTATCAGGGCAGAAACTGGTTGGGGCGGTTACTGGTTCCTATCCAAAAGATTTGAATGTAGCTCTCTGATAAACTGAAGGACTTATCTAGAATAATCTGATAAAGACAAGATGTATGTTACAGAGTTTGTAAAACTATATATATATATATATATATATATATATATATATTAAAAAAAAAGCATTCACATCCACTAGCAGATCTTCTGAAGGTACTTTACAAGTCCGCTTCGGTATTCGTTGGGGTTCCAGGTTTCTAATTGGGCCGTGATCTTCATTCTCAGGTCAGCAGCTCTTGTACTGAGGCTGTTGGTATTTGTTGGGGCTTGGTACCCAATCTCTGATTGTGGGGGTGATGGTGGCATCCCCCCGCTGACCTGTCGTCCTGACGCCCCCTTGCCGTAGCATCGTTGTTGTATCTCATCGATCTCTAGTTGTGATAGGAGTTTTCGATTGCGGATGTTGGAACACTGGACTAACAGCTGTTTCGTTGTTAGCCTTGATTGTGGGTTTCAAAGTAACCAATGGTCCCACATACACTGCATGTATACTTCTCTCTGGGGTTGCTCATATAGTAGCATTCCAACAGTTCTGTGTTTTCCGCCCTTGTCCATCTATGTCTTGTTCCAGTAGCCCATTTCTCATCAGGTTGCCCTGGTTCCCTAGCACCTGACGTGGACCTTGTTGACCCGGGCGACATCCGAGCCGGTGTGACTCTATCATTTGTCTGTACTCTCATGTTGCTGAGGTAGGCCTAAAACACGGGGGCCGACAACGCCACCTAGGTTAAGCTGAGGCCTAGGACCTCTTAAAACCACCAAATTAAAGTTAAGGTAAAAGATTAAAATTAAGGAAACGATTAAAAGGTTCTTTTGCGTCGGGGGAGAGCATTAAACACAGAGGTATTTTAAAACAATGAGCACAGTCGGTCAGAGGGTAACACAATTTATTTTAAGAGAAGTAAAAACAACTAAGAGCTCTACCTTAAAAGAAACTAAAAACAAAAAACACACTAAAATCCAGATATAAATGCGGCACGGATGGAGTGGGAGGTCAACAATGGCAGTCGCGGGTCTCTGGTGCCGACCACCTGCTCTTCACCTGGCTATATTACACACTACAACAAACAGCGGTCTGAAACGGGACTTAGGCGGGAAGGAGAAGTTTTACCTTCTCCCAATTGAAGCCGCGAGCGGTCGGTGTTTGCGTTTGCTCCAGTGTCTCCTCAGACCTCTCCCAGGCCGGTGATATCATAGACATATGTCTATGGGTGATATGCTCCATCTCTCTGTCTGCTTCCTGCTGTCCGGCCCATTGTGCCCTCCGTTCTGTCTCCACCACTTGGTTGTGTCAGGTGCACTCTTTATGCTGTTGCCCTTCTATCTAAAACAGTCAATTTTCTGGTCCCCAGGTGTAAGTAAAGTAAAAACGACGTTTTTAAAACACAACAACAATAAAAGCATGTAATAAAACACAGCAAATACTAAAAACACAACAAATCCAAAGTAAAAGCATGCTTAAATAAAATCAAACTTCCGCCCCGCGACATATACACACTACATATATACTACATATATAAGTTAGTGTATCTCTTTGTTTTCTATAAGAGCCTACTGGTTATTTTATATGTATTGTTTTATTAAAATATAACTAATAATTCACATTACAGTTCATGGACACAGACGCTACTGTAGTATAAAGCTCCGGACAACTCTGAGTTGAATAAATTAATGATTTAATGAATGTTCTTACCTCCATCGGACGTCCACACTCCCTCAGTCAAACACACAGTCCAAGTCCAGAAGAGAAACCAGAAGCTAAACACAAAGTTTCTGAAGTGACTCATAAAAATAAAGTGAGGAAGCCGACAGACTGAAAGTTAGAGAGCGACCGTACAGTTCTGGGCCGTGTTCTGTTCTGTGGACACCACCAAGTGAGACAGGAGGAGACATGTCTGATGTTATCTGGACCCACCCTAACTCCAACCAACCACTGCCCTGTGGAAGAACCACGCCCCCTTACGTCACCTGCTGAAACTGAAGACATGTGAAAAAAGTGGTCCAAGATCCCCTCCAGACATGGATCACTACATACAGATAGTCCGCTTGGATCAATAAAAGTATTGTTTGCACATTAAAATAAATCAAAAGACATCTGCATTACATGACGCAGCAGCCGGGGGACAGATTCTCTGATCTGAAGTTGATCATATTGTGCTGCCACACTTCAGCTGTCAAGAACAGCAGCATCTTTTTTTAAAGTGATTTAGCGATGAGTTACAGTCACACACAAATCATACATCAGTAGTTCCGCATATAACCACGATGATGAAGTAATAAAAATAGAAATACATTGCAAACATATCACCCTGCAGTCCCTCCAGGAAGTGGCAAGTAAGTACGTAAAGCTTTATTTATACAGCACTATGTTACAGTCACAAAGTGCTTCACAGACAAACAAATAAAGATATAAACACACACATACAAACATAAACAGTTAATGCAAATTCAATCTCTGGATATTCTGCAATGTTGTCCAATCACCGCAACTTTCCTGCAAATGCAACCAATAATTCTCACGTGCTTGTTCCTAGTGTTGGAGATAGAGACATGTACGATGGCCAGTGTCTCACATTAACCCTCCAAACAGCCGGTTTTAATCTCACCGGAAACAAGTCGCCTACAAACATTTTCTAGGACGGCTGCTGTAGAATCAGACATTTAAGGCCGCAACAATCCCCATAAAAAGCTAAAGATAACAAAAAGAACAGGTCTAGTTGATCCAGACGGGACTGGGTGTGTCTCCACCTACGTAACTGTGTCTGAAATGTTAAATATCCTTCATCACTGTTCAATTTAAACAGAGCAGACTATTGTTTTGTGGTCTTAGTGACATCGGTGGAAAAATGTGTGTCAGAAGTGCGTTTATGTAACTTTCAGGCTGTCTGTTAAATGTGTCCTGCAGAACCAACAGATCAGCAGATGGATAAAGTTTTTGAAAAATACATTTTCTTGTTGTTCTTGTGTCCTGATGGTGCCTCACAGGCTGCCGTACTGATCAATAAAACATGGGAAGGGGCTGGTAAACAGCGCAGATGGATTCAACTTCATGATGTGGGTGTGGGTGTGATCTGTCTGCAACAGCCTTAAAGTCAATAGTCACAGATAGTTATGATAGTTTTGTCTGCAGGTCCCACAGAAAGCAGCCTTTAATGCCAACAACCACCCACTGTTCACCACTCCCTTCCTTTAATCCGTCTGCACACATTTCCACATTATTATTCATCTTTTATGACCCCTGCAGGGCTCCGTACTCAGGGCCGGGTGCCTGGCCGCCCCATTTGGTGTTAAATCCTGTCAATTGAATTTATATTAATTTTTTAAAAGAATGTGTTAACAAACTGAAATCATTCTATTGATCTGTTATGGTCACTATTCTTATTCAGTGCTTTATTAATGTGCTACAATAATGTTTCTGAGTTCAACAATCTGCATTTGTGATTAAATCAGAATATATTTCTCTATATCTGCTGCTGTGTGTTCTGCAGTGTCCATATCAGACACCTGAACGTACTCTTCGTCTGAATGTTAAAATATGAAAGAAGTTAAATGGAGTTTGAAGACAGAGCTGTGTAAAGTTGTTTGTCCATTAACATCAGTATGTGTGGATTATTTACATTATTTTACGTCTTATTCAGACTGAATGCAAAAACAAAAAAGTTATTTTGTATTGAACCGTAGATAATAATTTGCTTTCATACACAAACAAGATTGTGTATCTGTTTGCTCCTTTGGTTTTTTATCCAAAACCACAATGTTTTAAGGAGTTCGGTTCTGATCAGTCTACCGACTGAGATAGGTGGACCTCAGACAGAACCTTAGGCAGGAAAGCTGGGTTGCACGATGCTCCACCCATCTGGCGACAACCTACAGCAGTCACTGTGAGCTGACGGGGCTTGGAGTTCACTTATCCTCCCTGGTGGAAGTTATGGCTACCAGGAATGCATTTTAAGGGAAAGCCACTTCAAATCAGCACCCCCAAAGCTCAAGGGCGGGTTGCTGAAGTGCACTTAGGACTTTATCCAAGTCCCTGATGCTGATGTCCTGAGACACAGCATACATCTGTCATGACCACATGGCACAGAAATACCACACCCCCCACAAGAATGTCCCTGTTGGCTCTCCATACTAGATAAACTACAACTGTCAGGGGGGACAGAAACTGGGGACCGGCAGCAATCTGGAAACTCACTTCCCGGTTTATGGCCAGCTACAGGAAAAAATACTAGCCTTGCGAATACACACAAAGTTTGTTGCTTTAGTTTATTGGCCTCATTCCCCGTACATATGGAATATGTAAGGGAGTGGAGAGAGGATAGAGAACTCATCTTGATCAAATCAGCTTCCAAATATTTTCTCTTTCAGTCATAAATGATAAGATCAAGTTCAAGCTGCCATGTTGAGCAACAAACATCCGGTCTGTCTGTCTCTCAGCCAACCTCTGTCTGATGTTGAGCTAAAGTCTCTTCTAATATAGTCTCACTGAAGCATTATCTATCAGTTTATACACTCCCCTCTGTTCTCAGTTGATATTACAGTAGATAGAAACCTTATATTGTCTGCCAGTAGAGTTTAGAATACAACAGTTGACTTATTACCATTATTATATATCAGGCTCTACATGGTGGAGCCCCTGAGCACATTTCTGAATGACTGCGTCCATATTGGATCTTAAAGTCTCTCAGGTCAGCTGACCAGGGTCACTGCAAGTTCCCTGAGCTCCACTTCATAATGAAGACCGACCTAAAACTTTCTAACAGTTTACCTCTTACTGTCAGATAATCATCTCACCTGATATATATTCCCCTCCCTGTTTGTGTGTTCTGCTTTATTGTTGATGATGTTTCAGTTTTACTTATTTATTTAGAATATATTTATTCTGAACAGCTGATGTTGACACTGTGTCCTGTTGTGTGGCTCACTCTAGTGTTGTAGAAATGACACTAACAATATAAAGTAATGTACACAGTGAGCAGTATCTGAAGATGTGTTGATGTTGAATGTTTGCGATAAACTGAAGGAAGAAGTGTTCCTTTATGTGCTGAGATAAATTCCCCCACTTTTTAAGCTAAATATTCATTTAAAAACCCTCTTGGATTATCTGTAAATAGCATCTTCACAAAGCTGAAAACAGTCTGAGTTTCTGACTTTCACAGATTAACGGTACAGGACAGTGATGCTGAGTAGAGTTTTTATAAAAGAGAAAATTCAGCTCTGAATGTGCCAGACAACCTCAGCTTGTATTCTGAATGTTTCTCACAGTCATAGTGAATAAAGGTGACCACAAATCAGTTATCATCCTAACTTACATAATATAAATTAAATGTCATCAAAAAACAAAGACACTGCTGTCTGTTGAATCACACAGTTTTAACACCATTAACTGATTCAGATCAGTCTAAACAGGTGGGGAATCAACTGTAAGTCACATTTCCCATTTATGTCTTGTAACATGCAGGAAGAGGACGGTTAAACTGTTAAACAAGTTCTGCCGGATACAGAATACCAGAATTAAACTTCAATTCCGTGTGATCGGGACAGGACGAGCTTTTCAGTCGCTTTGAGGTCCAAGGTGAAGTACTGTCTCTGGTTGCTCACTCAAAGAGCTGAAAATGAGTGACGAGGTGCAAAAATTACAAAAAACTATAACTTGTAGCTACCATGTCATTGGACAGGAGCCCACAAGATGATTTACAGTTCTGTCACAGTTCTTCTGCAGGCTGTACTTTTTAAAGTCCAAACCAAAGGTTACCAGAAGATACTCCATCAGTCAGTAAAGTCGACTTTTCTCCAACAGGGCCAACTTCCTCCAGGATCCAAGATCTGAAGGTCTCACTGCTGCTGAACCAGCTGGTTCACTTGCAACTGGACCTGCTGCTGGTTTGAATCCCTGAACTGATGAGACAGATCCAAGAGAGGGAAACACTCTCACCTCCATTAACATCAACTACCAATGTGCACCTAGACTGGTTTGTTTGGGGCATCGTCATACTTCAGAAGCTGGAAGACAATGAACAGAAGTTTAATAATTAGTCAGCCATCTCCTTAAAAGTCTGGTATGATTTACACAACAAGGATTTACACTCACTTTCTGTTGTTTCTTGTGTTTAAGTAAATATCCACCGACTCCACCACCCAGGACCAGTAAGACGCAGACAACCACAACGATCAGAGTGCCCAGATGGGAACGACCAGCTGATGTGAAGAAAGCAAACAGAGAGAAAAGTTACAGTGACTGAAATAAACACAAAGTGTGATTCAGTTTCTGACAACACAGAAGATTCTTCACCTCTAACGTTCGTCTCATTGTTTGGATCTGGAGTTTGTAGATCTCTGGGATCCGGCGGTGTCTCTGTCGTCGTTTGAACAGAGTTTGGTTCTGAAAAAAACAATTAATAATGATTTAAAACACAATATCATAAATAAACAGTACAACATTATAGGACGACGGTCAGTTAAGTTCTTCACAAAATCATCCTCTAAATTTTACAGACGTTTAGTTTTTACCTTTGGACAGAAAATCCAAACAAAGTTCTCGTCTTTATTGAGACTGAGTCTACAGCCTTGCAGCCTTCTAATGCAAAGGACCATAAACACTGTGTATCTTTAATGAAACATACGACTTAACAACACAATAAATTCAGCAGCTGTTTGCTTTTGACCCGTAGACCCACATTAAGTTTCAGTCTCGTCCCTCCAAGACCCAAAGTTTGGCCCCTGATGTAAACAACTGCACTCACCTACAACAAGTGTAACAACTGATTCCTTCACTGGGCCCTTTAACTTCGGGATGAAACATCTGTATCTCCCTCCGTCCTCCAGCGTCACGTTCAGGATCTTGAGCGAGATGTCTCCGCTCTTCAGGCCGTCCTTGGAGAGCTCTGTCCTTCCGATGTACGACTGGAGCTTCATGTCCATGTCTTCCCGACGGTCCCTGTAAAGGTGCACATAGTCCACCCGACTGAGCCGATCTGAGGGGTCGGGCTTCAGGTCGGGCTTCGACCACTCCACCGTCAGCCCCTCCAGGTTTAACGAAGGCTGCAGGCGGCACGGCAGGATGACGTCATTGCCCAGAAAGGCAACGATTGGCTGAAGAGACCCGACCACACGAGGCTGACCTGGACAACAGAGAACAATTAAACCTTAAGATCTGTGTTATGACTGACAGTGCGCTACATGATATAAAGTCACATTGCGATCATTTTGGTAAATACTGAGATTGTTGATTCACAGTTAGTGGGGATGATCATTTTTGCATCATAATTTTAAGTATCTTTAGACATTTTACGTGACACTGACTTTACTTTATCATTTGTATTTGTACTGTGAAAAGAAAATACAGAATAAAGTATTATAGTTTGTGTAACTAAATTAGTGTCAGATTTAAAGCTGTTTCATCAAGAAGTTTTTGAACTTACATAAATAAGTTTGTGGTACTTAAAATGTTTGATGTGATGGGTTTCAATGAGTATTTTGAGTTAAAATAACGTATTCCAGTGTAGTAGTGTAACTAATTACTGTTGGCAGGGAGTAATCAGTAAAGTAATAACATTACTTTTTAAAAGAGTAATAAGTTTTGATGTTCTTCTCTCAGCTGAAACCAACCGTCCTGCTCATCAGGAGCGTTACTGACTCTGTCCTGAAGATGTGAATAAAACACAATCTGCTGCAGGTGGATTGATTCTGTGTCAGCGATAAAGGTCAATTTAACACATCATAACATCAAACAGTTTAATGACTGAGTTTGGTATGAACGCCAGCTCAGAGACACGTGGGCAGCATGTGGAGGCTTTAATGTGTGAGTCATCTACTGTGACTCATAACTCTGATAGTGTGAGAAAATATCATATTGTGATTATTTTATTTGGTGATATTGTATCGACTCTCAATAATTCTGTATTGATTTTTGTGTTTAATCCCCCAAAAACACTCGCTATCAGTCAACATATTGATAAAGTTTCTCATTATCTTCAGATGTAAGTCATTATTTCAGATACTAAGTCAATATCTTGAAATATTTTGAGATATTAAGTCATTATTTTTAAGATATTAAGTCATTATTTGAGATATTAAGTCATTATTTTTAAGATATTAAGTCATTATTTGAGATATTAAGTCATTATTTTTAAGATATTAAGTCATTATTTGAGATATTAAGTCATTATTTGAGATATTAAGTCATTATTTTGTTAAAGTTTCTCATTATAATGACTTACAGAATATTTTTTTAATCATATTGGCAGAAATGGGCTTCCATACATCTTATTTGAGTAAAACAAAGGAGGGAAATTTACGACTTAACACTAATTCATTTATTCTGTAACGTTAACACATATCACATCAATATCAGCTGTAGTTCAATAGTTACAACTATCCATGTAAGTGACCTAATCAATGAATGAATGAATGAATGAATGAATAACAGAAACATAGGAGCTTACCTTCACTGGAGGTCCACACTGCAGAACTCAGACACACAATCAGAGTCCACAGAGCGAAAGAGGACCCGACACTCCCGAAGTGAACCATAAAACTACCCGACAGTACCATCGGTAACGTCCTTCAGTCACAGAGAGCAGAGACCAGAACTGGGTTGGTGGGTTGGTGGGCTGGTGGGTAGTTCTGATGTTGGTGACCACGCCCCCCTTTGAGTGAAACAGAGATCACCAAAGAGAAAGTTTAAAACTTCCCACACTAACAATAAACAAAAACTGTGACTAATCTGTGAAATTATTTGTGGTTAAATGTTTGGCTGTTTACAGAACTCTAGTTTACATTGAATTACTTTGACCAATGCCTTACGTATATTTTTATTTATATAATATTATTTTATTTTCTATCTATGTATAGCCTATATTATGTCGCTTTAAGGCAACGTAAGAGACTACGTTAAATACGTCAGGTAGTGTAACGTAAGTAAACAAAAGGCGACAGTTCACTTCCTCCATCGTACTTGAACGGCGGTCCGACGACAGACACATTCACGCATTCAGCGGACACAAACTCTTCATCACAGGTTAGTGAATGAATGAATGTTTGCCGATTGTGTCTGTAGATCAGAAAGAATCACAAAAGAGTCTCAGTGATGGTGGAAATAAAGTTTGTACTGTAAAAAAATACGATCCTTCCTTAAAACAGCTGTTTTTTGAATGGAGTTTGGTTTGACGGCGCGGAGCAGAGACTATTAATAATAATAATAATAATAGTTACAAAGTAATACAGTATTCTTACCTCAGAACTGCAGTCACGCACAGATTCCCTCTGGAATTACTGCACTATCCCACACACTGAAACCCCCGACAGTGTGTGGAAACCCCCCCCCAGATGAAACTGGCTCATGTAAAACCCACTCATGTAAAACCCACTCATGTCTCTACAGAATCAGTTTCTGTTTTTAAATGACATTAACTTTAACAGTAGCAGCTCTGTGAGGGGGGAAATATCAGAAAACTCCAATCTTCTCTTCATTATTGGGGATCGATCAGGTCAATGAGGAGATAACGAGCCAATCGGTGATGGGAGTCAGTAAAGCTTTATTTATACAGACTCACAGTTACAAGGTGCGTATTGCATTCACTTGAAAAAATAAAAATAAAAACTCCGGTGTTTCGGAGTAATTTGTTCTCTGAATTATCGAGATACTTCGAACTCCCGCGAGAATCTCCAACCTGCAAGTGACTCCAATGGACCTCTGGTGACTGCTGCCCACACATACATACCCCATCATCAACAAGAGTCCACACACTACTGATAATACCATCTATATGACTTAAAGACAGGACTATCTCCCAGAGTCTGAAACCAGATCAAAGTAAAACTGGATTGAACTAAACTTTCTGTTTAATCGAGCTCTCAATAAAGGAATGAATGAGTTTATTGTTTTAAAAAGAAATGACTCCGAAAAACAAACCAAAGTGAATGCAATACTGTGCTTCACAAACCTATAATTAAACATCTATACATAAACAAATGTATACACAATGTTACGATATTCTATGATTTCTACTCATATATACATATATATTTACCTGTATGATTATTAACTAGAATAGAAATATGTTTACTTGTGCTGACATTGATAAAGGGCTGTTAAGGGAATACTAATAACAGAAGTAAAGTAATGAATAGAAAAACAATGATAGAACAGAGGACGGACTCCCTCCAGTCGTAAAAAACAACTTCATATCTGGAAGAGAGAGTACAACGTGTAGACATAGGTTTGGTTGATATGCGTATAGGGTTAGATAGCAAGTCCCTGAATGTCAGAAAAGAGGCGGTTTTCTGTTTCTAATTAGTTCCAAGTTGTGGCGACCCCATCAACACCAGATACCAAGTGGACGAGGGGTGGAGATTCTACCATCTTGTGCTATGTGTGTTATCTGCAAAAATATAAGAACTGATGTTAGGAACAAGAGGTGGCTCAGACTTCGTGAACTGGCAGACCTTGTGCATGTCAGGTTAATCGTAGTTGAACCCAGAGCTCTGTTACTTTTGTACAATATACTGGTGTTAAGAATAAAGCTGATTATATCTATCATTAAACGAACGCGCGAGGAATGAGTGTCTGAAATACAGAGATACCTCAACAACAATCATACACACATAAAAAACATATAAATACTAACAAATGAATGAATAAACAAGAGGAAAAGTTAAAAAAAAAGAGATTTAAAATAAGTAAATAAAGTATATAAATGAAGAAATCTGTAAAAAAGGCTTTTAAAGAGCCTCAGATTCAGTTAATCTGATTGATTGATTGATTGATTGATTTATTGATTGGGGAAGATGATTCCAGCATTAGGATGACTCAAACAGTCACAAGACAGTGACGGGATTCCCCCTTTATTATTTTATAGTTTTATTTTCTGTTTATTTTATGAGCTCACGTGAGGCAATAAGAGGCAACATCAGTGAGTCACAGTTTCACCAGTGTGTATTTAAATGGTTCATCTGGTTCATAACCTTTACCCTTAAAGGACAGTGACATATTTTATATATATAATATTTTTATATTATAACAGAACAAACCCAAACACTGGATGACTAACTGCAGTAAAACTAGATATTAGCATGAATTTGGAGCTGATTTTGAGTTTTTTTATTTAAATCATACATTCAGTGTTTTCTTCTTACTGAGGCTTTGACCATTGTTCTCTTCGCTCTTTGGATGTTTCATCACTGTGAATGAGGGAGACCTCAGTGATTCTGGAGGCTTAAATAAAGGTTTTGAATTGAATCACGTACATTTCTAAAGGAGGCTGGTCAGCGTTCAGTGTGGATCTATTTCCCAGCTCGTCTGTGGTCTGTACAGTAAATGAATCAAACCCAGACCCCCGTATGACTAAGTTACTGTAACTGTTGTACCTTGTTTAGAGCAGTAAATAGAGTATATTGTATTCACAGAGTGATAAAAAGGTGCAGGCCCTCTGAAAGGACAGGGTCAGGTTCCAGAGAGGTTTCTGTGTGTGAGTCATACTAAAATAAACGCTAAATAAACATAACATGTGTCAGTGAGTCATTATCACACTGTTTAGACTGTCTCTATATTCAGTGTAGATGATAAATAGTTGGCAGGAGTTCCCTGTGACCGACTTTCAACAAGAAGTAGAATGAGGAAACACCAGTCCGACCGGCTATAAATAGTTCACATAAGAACTGTTCATGATGTAATGGAATTACCTAATGTCGTGATCAATAGCTTAATTGTAACTCACATGCTTTATAAGTGAGCTTAACTATTTACATAGAGAGTGAAATGATGAATGTGTCATGAAATATGTTTCTTATGACGAACGTCGTCTCTGGATAGTTTAGTCTGTGTTAGATGAGGGTTTTGGTTGTGTAGCGTGAGAGTTCGGTCTTATCAAGGCTCTTTATCTGATGAACTCACTGCACATTATAGACATTACAGAGAGACAGACAGGTACAGTCAGACAGACAGGCAGGTACAGTCATAGAACAGCTGGTGACCGCAGTGGAAAAAACATAGCTGACAAAGCAACTGTTGTAAGCTAGGTTTATTTAGCTGCTTTGTCCGTCAGGGACCATTTTCTGTCTATAATCATATATTCATCACATATTCATCACATAACAATACCAGGAGACAGCAGCTGTTAAACTGAACAATGAACCCAAACACTGAACACAATAACTGCAGGAAACTCAATACTGCATCATTTTCATCATCATCATGTCGTGTCTGTTTTGTGTATTTTCTTTTTTTTTTAACAATCATATATTCAATCTAAGCAAATGAATTCATGTAGTTTACTTCACAGAATTACACAAATTACTCACTGTGTATAGTTTTTGAGTTTCCTTACACCTTGTGACCCCTCATGAAGCTTTGGCGACCCCTAATGGGGGTCCTGACCCAGAGGTTGGGAACCACTGGAGATAACACTGTTTATCTGACAGTGTTTTAAACTCAACCTGACTGATAATATTTCTTACAAAAAGCTTTGAGCTCCAGTTTGTTCCCTTTAAAGCCTGTATTTTTCTGATTGTGTCCAAATGTTAGGCCTTTTATTTATTCCATCATCTCGTCTATTTTATTATTATTATTGTTGTTGTTTGTGATGGAATATGCTTTATCTGTTTCATTGTTAGTATTTATGTTGACTGTTTCTGAAATGTTTCCAATCCTCCTTAAATAAATAAAGTTTATTAATATAATTATTATCATGAGAATTATATTTTAAAGGTCCAGTGTGTAACATCTATTGTCAGAAACTAAATATAATATTAATAGGTCTGTTTTCATTAGTCATCTGAATATGAAAATCATTGTGTTTGATCTTCTTCTGGTGGAGTCCGCCATCTAAAATTCTTGGTTGCGAGATAAAACTTCTAATTAATTGATTAAGAGAAAGCTACAAACATTATTTTGATAAGTTGTGTTGTTGTGTGAACTGAAATGTTTAGGATTTTTATGAGCGGCCGAATCAACTTAAAAAGTAAAACGTGTTTATGCTTCCAATTATTAAATACTCATTAACACATTTAATTGTAAAGGAAACGCTAATTTCCAGAACACAAGGTAGTACTAATAATCAGTTAATAATCAATAATTAATGACTTTAAATGTCAACAATAATCCGATGGCTGGTAATCATCGTCAGTATTGAAACATCAGTGAAAGCGGGTTCAGTCTCGTGCAGCCTCGTTCTCAAACAAACATGGAAGCACCTGAGACGAACGGCTTATTATTCTCACCAACGTATAAAACTGAAAACAGATCATTTTAACATCTGCACAGAGTTTTTTGCCGACCAATGTTTATTTCCTTGTTGTTGAAGTGGTTCAGCGTCAGTCTTTCAGCTGCAGGACAGAAAAAACCCTTCAATTCCTGTTCAATGTAAAAACACACGGGACATTGCTGTAGTTTCCTGTCAGGTGTTTTCTGGTTTGATTGTTGAGTAGAAAGTCGGTGCAGCGTCGATGTCTGTGGACGAAGGACACAAAACCTTTAACATTTCATTATTCACAGAGACATATTGTTACTAACAGAAAGAAAAAGCAACACAAAGTGACAGAGTTTTGGGGTTTTTCCTTCATTGGTTGGATGTAAAGCAGCCGAGAGAATTCAGTAACGAAGTGAAGCTTCAGGTTTGTTTTTAAAGAGGAAATAAAAGATTAATTCATCTTTTATTGATCATCATCAGAAATCAATATAGTGTCAAATATCAGTGCTGGAAAGATTGCATTCAAATACATCAGTCCTGTTGATGCTCCTACTTTATAAAGTTGTAACCGTAAAACACATCAGATTGTAAGATGATTTATATGTTTTTATATAAATTCTCCCAGTTCCATCAGTAGGCAATGTCACCACCCAGCAGTCCCAGGTTCCGTTGGCCCCTAATGGCCCCTAATGGCCCCTAATCAATTAATATCTAGCTATAGAGTATATGTATACAGTTCCCTAAATATTGACCTTAATTACAATCAATGTTCAATATTCAGTTGTATTATCCTTTGTGCACACACACAATGTCTAAAATATTATAAAGTAGAATAGAATACAACAATATAAAGCAATAAACAAACATATGTGGTTCACACATGAGCTGCATAAAGAGTGCGGATAAAGAGAGCGGCTGTAGTCATGTAGCAGTAATATTTATCCTTCCATCTCCTGCACTCTCTGTTTGTTTTTATTCTGAATCCATTTGTTTTGTTCCATAACGCTGTCAAAATAGAAACTCGGTCAGTCTCAGAATAGCACATTAATGGCTGATAAGCTTTTGTGAGCTTTGACCTCATGCCAACTGTTTATAATGCTGTAACCATGGTGATTTAAGATTTGGACCGATAAGAGCTGGGTAAGAGGGCGGATCTTCCGTCTCCAGGAAGTCAAACATAACAAACACACATGGCCCAGAGGGAAACCTCTTTGTTTGTCACCGGGGATTGGCTAAGGTCAGCCAATCAGAGGCAGAGGAGGGCGGAGGAAGGATTAGTGGAAGAAACAGAGAAAGGCAGAGAGACGAGTTTATACAGTTTAATAATCGTCTGACGTAGTTTTAGTTTACAGTTCAAAATCTCATTCGAATATTTATTATATTAAGATTTTTACATAAACTGTTGGCAGTTATTTAGGGACTATGACAGTGTGTGTGTGTGTGTGTGTGTGTGTGTGTGTGTGTGTGTGTGTGTGTGTGTGTGTGTGTGTGTGTGTGTGTGTGTGTGTGTGTGTGTTTGTTTACCTCGGATCCTGTTTGGTTGCACTTCCTGCGTGATGATGACATCAGTGTACGAGACATCGGGGTCGACTTTACCTGCAACACAAACCTCAGCGTCACACACAAAGCTGCATTTGAGCCTGGAAACAAACAAGAAACCACTCGACTGGTTTTGTGCCAGTTGTGGTTTTGGATAAAAAACCAAAGGAGCAAACAGATACACAATCTTGTTTGTGTATGAAAGCAAATTATTATCTACGGTTCAATACAAAATAACTTTGAGAAAGAAAGAATTTGTTTTGTTTTTGCATTCAGTCTGAATAAGACGTAAAATAATGTAAATAATCCACACATACTGATGTTAATGGACAAACAACTTTACACAGTTCTGTCTTCAAACTCCATTTAACTTCTTTCATATTTTAACATTCAGACGAAGAGGGTTCAGGAGCAGATACAGAGAAATATTCATCAGAAATATATTCTGATTTAATCACAAATGCAGATTGTTGAACTCAGAAACATTATTGTAGCACATTAATAAAGCACTGAATAAGAACATCTAAAGGTGACCATAACAGATCAATAGATTCATTTCCGTTTGTTAAAAATTAATATAAATTCAATTGACAGCATTTAACGCCAAATGGGGCGGCCAGGCACCCGGCCCTGAGTACGGAGCCCTGCAGGGGTCATAAAAGATAAATAATAATGTGGAAATGTGTGCAGACAGATTAAAGGAAGGGAGTGGTGAACAGTGGGTGGTTGTTGGCATTAAAGGCTGCTTTCTGTGGGACCTGCAGACAAAACTATTATAACTATCAGTGACTATTGACTTTAAGGCTGTTGCAGACAGATCACACCCTCACACCCACACCCACATCATGAAGTTGAATCCATCTGCGCTGTTTACCAGCCCCTTCCCATGTTTTATTGATCAGTACGGCAGCCTGTGAGGCACCATCAGGACACAAGAACAACAAGAAAATGTATTTATCAAAAACTTTATCCATCTGCTGATCTGTTGGTTCTGCAGGACACATTTAACAGACAGCCTGAAAGTTACATAAACACACGTCTGACGCACATTTTTCCACCGATGTCACTAAGACCACAAAACAATAGTCTGCTCTGTTTAAATTGAACAGTGATTCAGTTACGTAGGTGGAGACACACCCAGTCCCGTCTGGATCAACTAGACCTGTTCTTTTTATTATTTTTAGCTTTTTATGGGGATTGTTGCGGCCTTAAATGTCTGATTCTACAGCAGCCATCCTAGAAAATGTTTGTAGGCGACTTGTTTCCGGTGAGATTAAAACCGGCTGTTTGGAGGGTTAATGTGAGACACTGGCCATCGTACATGTCTCTTTCTCCAACACTAGGAACAAGCACGTGAGAATTATTGGTTGCATTTGCAGGAAAGTTGCGGTGATTGGACAACATTGCAGAATATCCAGAGATCGGTTGAATTTGCATTAACTGTTTATGTTTGTATGTGTGTGTTTATATCTTTATTTGTTTGTCTGTGAAGCACTTTGTGACTGTAACATAGTGCTGTATAAATAAAGCTTTACGTACTTACTTGCCACTTCCTGGAGGGACTGCACGGTGATATGTTTGCAATGTATTTCTATTTTTATTACTTCATCATCGTGGTTATATGCGGAACTACTGATGTATGATTTGTGTGTGACTGTAACTCATCGCTAAATCACTTTAAAAAAAGATGCTGCTGTTCTTGACAGTTAAAGTGTGGCAGCACAATATGATCAACTTCAGATCAGAGAATCTGTCCCCGGCTGCTGCGTCATGTAATGCAGATGTCTTTTGATTTATTTGAATGTGCAAACAATACTTTTATTGATCCAAGCGGACTATCTGTATGTAGTGATCCATGTCTGGAGGGGATCTTGGACCACTTTCAACACATTCACTTCGACAGCTGACACCACAGAAAGCCAAATGTCACTTTATTGACATGAAGGCGGGCTGACCTTTGTGGCTCCTCCAGAGGCAGAGCAGCAGCAAGAGCAGAAAGAGCAGCAAGAGGCACACGACCACCACGACAGGAAGTAGAATGTATGTGAAGGTGGAAGGCGCCCCATCATGGCGTCCTGCTTCAAAAACAGAAATATACCACAATATACCACTGAATTCAGAAACCACAGGTTAACCTTTAATGCAATAAAGAAACCCCCTAAAAACAACAAGCTGTGTGTACACCGCTGTCGGCCTTTGTGCTGGATGACTCTCACTTTTACACACTGTGATTTAAACATGTCATTTCTGCCGCAATTAGGTCTTTCAAATCAAAGCAAAAACTCAAGTTTGAGGACTTTTTTTAAGTAGCATGGGCTCATGGGAGCTTCAGCTTCTCCCGGTTAGGATTCCTTCAGTGTTCATGGTTCAGGAGGTTTCTACCGGGAGCCCAATGATCCACAGAGGTCTCCTCCTCTCCGAAACAAACTGCTGATTAAAACCACTAAACACACTGAATAAAGCAGTTCCACCTTAACAACCTCTGCTTCTCCCACGCTGTTGGACAGACAAAGGACGTCCTGGAGTGGCTGCGAGCCGAGCTGCTGCTAACGTTAACTCAGCTTGTGTCTCTGATAACTTAAGATCCAGACGTCAGATGACTAAAATCCTTCATCCGGTTTAAATCTAGAGTTAAAAAGCACCAAGATCTAAACAGTGTATGGTAACAATGTGGCTTCAGACTGGATCAACAGTCAATGTATGACAGCTTCTGATCACAATACATATTATAGATTCAACTCAATCTTGGCATTATTAGACAGCAAACCAGCACAGAAAACGTTGTAAAAATAGATTTTTGGGCAGATCTCACCTCTGACAATCAGCCAGCTGTCTGGTGATTGTCCAACTCCAGAGATGTTACACTTGTAGACTCCTTCATCAGATTGAGAGGCATTGTGGATGGTCATGTTTCCCGTAGAGCTGCTCCTGATCAGAAACCCGTCTTTGTAGAAATCAGTGAGATTGGAGGCCGAGGGAGTCCTGTTTGTACAGCGCAGAGTCACATCGTCTCCCTCCATCACAGGAAGAACAGGACTCTCCAGGATCACAGAGCCCCCTGAGGGACAGATCATTATTATTCACAGGATTGTGATGCATCAGAAAACTACAGCAGTTTCTAATTAAACTCACTGGTCACAGTGATGGTGACAGCATCTCTGCACTCTCCTTCTGCAGACTCACACCAGTACACTCCACTGTCTGATGGGTAAAGGTCATCGATGAAACAGAGGGATTCATTTGTTCCATTCCTGGATGTGAAGCACTCTTTGTTGATGTTTTTAGATGTGTTTCTCTTAACTCTCCACTCTTCCTGCTGCCCACAGCTCAGAGACACAGTCTCATACTGGAAGAACTGGGATCTATTGGGAAGGACTCTCAGAACGGCTGCAAGAAACAAAAAGATGGAGGCACATTGGAGATTTTTTATTATAAATGAACCTCAACAGAAAACTTAAGCAAACAAGAACGCTGATGCTGCAAACTCAGCTTCTTCGCAGTCAGTGGCCTCCGAGTTTCGCTACGGATGTTATTCTGAACAACAAGTGAGGAAACAATAAACCATCTCATTTGCATTGATCTCTGGGGTCGATGTCAAGCTGTGCAGAGTTTATTTTACATTAATGACAAATGAATGCACTCCTGACAACATGAAGGCGAAATCAAAGGACTAGAAGTCAGTAGCATCTGCAGCTGCAGCGCATTCATGATGATATAAAAAGCATCGCCCACAAGCAAACATATCAAAATAACTGCTGTATGAACCCACAATAAGATAATTTAGCATTCATACAGATAAAGCTGCAGTTTTATCTCTCTCTGCAGACTTCTGACACCAAAGGTAAAAATTTAATGACAGCTTGTGTGCTTGTTTCCTAATTCATATATGTCTATATCTACATAACAGTAACTATTTAGTATCTATGTGTCAGTTTTGAGGTTGTTGTGTCTGTTGTTAATACAGTGAAATAACTTCCTGGGTTGCATTAGATAATTTCTGGTGATTATCAATTAGTTCTGAGAAATAACATTGTTAAGTGCATGTATTAGAAGCATGTAATTCAGTGTAAAATAACTATTGCAAAGCTTAGTTTCAGAATAATGCTTGTGAACTGATCATTTTCTTCCTTGAATGCATGAAAAAAAGCATCATTTAATCTGGCTGCAGAGGACAGTCAATAGAAAGTATTGAAGTTGTAAACTAACATTAGAAAAATGGACACAGTTCACATCTCAGAGCTAAAAGAGACATTGAGAACTCACCAAGGACAGTGCAGAGTGCCGTTATGTCCATGCTGCTCGGCCGCTGACAGAGACACTGACTTCGGAGGGCTGTGTCACAGCTACTGTAAGGTTGGATGTTTGTGAGAGAGGCCACCGCTTCCTGCTTGAATCGCTTCTTTTTTCACACCTCAAATGTCACAACTTTGTGAACCTGGCCTCCTTTTACTTTCATGACCTGAATTTTGTTGGTTCCTCATACTTAAAAAGCAGAAATGGTTCATTGCCGCTGACTCCCAGAAACAACATGTATGATGTTTGGTTTCCCAACAGGCCTGTTACTGGACCTTTGTCTTCATGGTAACGATAATGAGGGTTAACACTGTCGCAGTTTGGATGGTTTAGGAAAAGATAATAGTTGGGTTAAAATAAGTATGTTACATATGTGCCGTAATTTAAAGGTCCAGTGTGTAGGGTAAACACACTGGCTCTGTTCCATTTAGTGTGGCAGGGTGCTGCTGCTGTGCACTGGAAAGGCTCTGCTACACTGTGTATTACTACGGACACTAGAGGTAAACAATAAAGCGCTGCCAAAAACAACCTATTTGCGTGCATTTAAATCTGACTCAACATAACAGTGAAAGCCACAACTCTTAAATATGGCTTTCCACAACACAAAACAACTCATGGTGGTCATTTGCATCAGTTGCTGTTGTGCCACCAGTCATGGAAACACAAGTCACGTTGTGTAGACATGTGTCATATGTGCGGTTGACTTTACTTCACATATAGGTCACAGATACACAACTGAATAGTAATTTATTGATTAAAGCAAAAAACATTCCCTGTTCCCAGATTCTAAAAATAAATCCATAAATGTATGGAGAGAATTCTGTTCCTTTATTATTCAATCAAATAGAATAGATTTGAAACCAAAAAAGAGATTTGAGAGCAAAAAGAGTAAGTGGCAATCAAAAAAATTTTTTTGAGATCGAAACAGAACAGGTTGCAATTGAAAAAAAAATATGAGAGAATATATTTCTTCAACTTCAATCAAAACTAATGTTTGTACGTAAAAACATACGACCATTTTGCGTCCTCTTTGCTTGAGAGTTATAAAGTTTTGTTTGCAAATCAGTCCTCTTTGCTTGCAAATTCAAAAGTTTTGCTTGCAAATTCAACTGCACTTGAGGGCGGGGCCTACACTGGTGGACGAGAGAAGAGTTTCTATTGGTTGGTTTGACTGGCTACGTCTTCCGTATTACACCCACTTCTCCCTGTGCTGTGCTGCTTGGAGAAGCCTGTTGCTCTTGAAACGTTTCCCATAAGTAATGAATTGCGCTATATATCGTTGGCTACAGCCTGCCTTACATTCACAACAACAACAACAACAACACAAGTAATGAATTATAATGCCCTGCTGCTGCAAGCTCACTGATTAGCAGCAACATGGTTGTCTCTGCTAGTCACGGCCTGAGCAGAGTAGCCTAATGAGTGAGTGAATTACAGGGAGGCGTATTCAACGTAGGGCTGTGATTTAAACATTTAGTGTTGCATGGTACTCACGGTGCCAAAACGTCAGGGTTCCTACACAACAGTACTACCGTGGATTACTAATCTACCGCTGAACGCGGGGCCAGTTTCCACTGTGTAGCGGGCTGCCGCTTCTCCTCCCGGCTCCCTTTCTCGCTACAGCTGTTCCAATGTCAACAAACACACGTGGCGAATAATTTAACAAATTCACGCACATATTTCTAACCAGCCAGCATTACTAGTCTATACAGGAGCAGCTGAATGATGCTTTTGACCTCAGAGATGTACAATGTGTAGGCTATAGAAGAGAAACGCAAATTTCAGCACCACTGATCTGTATAATCAGACTAAAAGACATGTCCTGTGATTTTAATTATTCGCCACGTGTGTTTGTTGACATTAGAACAGCTGTAGCGAGAAAGGGAGCCGGGAGGAGTAGCAGCAGCCCGCTACACAGTGGAAACTGGCCCCGTTCAGCGGTAGTTTAGTAATCCACGGTAGTACTGTTGTGTAGGAACCGTGACTTTTGGCACCGCGAGTACCATGCAACACTAAATGTTTCAATCACAGCCCTACGTTGTATACGCCTCCCTGTAATTCACTCTCTCATTAGGCTACTCTGCTCAGGCCGTGACTAGCAGAGACAACCATGTTGCTGCTAATCAGTAGTGCTTGCAGCAGCAGGGCATTATAATTCATTACTTGTGTTGTTGTTGTTGTTGTGAATGTAAGGCAGGCTTTAGCCAACGATACATAGTGCAATTCATTACTTATGGGAAACGTTTCAAGAGCAATAGGCTACCTCCAAGCAGCACAGCACAGGGAGAAGTGGGTGTAATGCAGAAGACGTAGCCAGTCAAACCAACCAATAGAAACTCTTCTCTCGTCCACCAGCGTAGGCCCCGCCCTCAAGTGCAGTTGAATTTGCAAGCAAAACTTTTGAATTTGCAAGCAAAGAGGACTGATTTGCAAACAAAACTTTATAACTCTCAAGCAAAGAGGACGCAAAATGGTCGTATGTTTTTACTTACAAACATTAGTTTTGATTGAAGTTGAAGAAATATATTCTCTCATATTTTTTTTCAATTGCAACCTGTTCTGTTTCGATCTCAAAAAATGTTTTTGATTGCCACTTACTCTTTTTGCTCTCAAATCTCTTTTTTGGTTTCAAATCTATTCTATTTGATTGAAAATTAAAGGAACAGAATTCTTCCATAATAAATTCCATATAAATGAGGAGAAAGCAGCAAGTTCTGTTTAACAGGTCAAAGAGGTGGAGCTGAGGTGGGCACGTACCTGTCACTCAACGTGGCCACACCCTTAACTATGCATAACTTTAAGCCATAATATAATTTAAACGGGTGAGTTATATAAAACTTCACCCCCCATACAGTACAGACTTTTACAAAGGGCCTTGAATGTGCTTCTAGTGACTATAAAAGCTCCAGAGGACTCTCTGTGTTTCCTGCCATCTCTCTAGGAGGCGGTAAGATTGTGGCTGACCCCTCCCACCCCGGACACAGACTCTTGGAAACACTTCCCTCTGGCAGGATCATGACCAAAACCTCACAGCATAAGAACAGTTCCTTCCGTCTGCGGCTGGTCTCATTAACAAGACCCGGGACCCCCACTGACACTGGTTCTTAAACCCATCCTGTATATATGCATTACATTAATGTTTTATCTTGCACATTCAGTCCATTGTTATTCTCATTTCTGTACAGCTATTTACTCGTTTATTTAAGTATCTGGCCATTTTGTATCTTTTTATCTTTATTTATATTTTCTAGCTTGGTTGTGATTCCTATGCACCAGTGTACAAAAGGCAAATTCCTTGTATGTGAAAACCTACTTGGCAATAAATCTGATTCTGAATTTCACCAGACTCCATTAAAAAATCTTACAATTTTGGGAGTTACTGAGCGAGGAGACACTTTATAAGCTTTGTGAAACGTTATCTACGACAGATTGTTAATTATTTGGACCTTCTTGTAAACTCAGGAAATGTTACACATTTAGTTATTTCTTATTTCCCAGTGTGTTGGCCAGACGGGTCCAACCTCCTCTACTGTCATCCACTGACAACGTGGAGTAGGTACAGCCCTCTAGGTCAGAGGTCACTGGTGACACATTTTAAAGGTGTAAACAGAACATTACATGCATGACCAGTATGGTTGCATCAGTAATGAAACAGCAGATTTTTCTGTGTGCATTTACATTCAGTGTTATGTGATAAATGTGTAATATAAGGTCTTGATTTTATTTCCCCCCACAGCTTATTTTGAGTCGACCAGGAGTCCCCCCAAATATCCTGGGGAATATTTTTCTTTCAGTTTGGAAAATGAAAAGAAAAAGTGAGAGTAAAGTTACATCACTACAGTTTGTAGATACATAAGAGATTAGAGTTCACCAGGATTTTACTCATGATGATTATTTTATTCAAAAGATGTTTTACTGAACTTGCTGAGTCACAATAATAATAATAATAATAATAATAATAATAGTATGATAATAACAAAGTACCTCCTTCATGGAGCTGACTCTGACTGAATACATATTTTTTAGAGTTTTGGAAAAATAATAAATCTTCTGGTTACTTTAGGTGATCAGTTACAAAATAAAGCTTAGTAACAGTCACATGATGATTAGTCATCATGACTCATATTTTACTTTATTTCACTCTCATTACATACGTTACATTATGTAACATTACATTACATTACATACAAGCTGTAGTGCTTAATTCTGATTTATTCTGATCTTGTTGTTGTTGTTTTTGTTGTTGTTGTTGTTTGTTTGTTTGTTTGTTTGTTTGTTCAGATTCATTTATAAATGTGGCCCATATCAGATTCCAGTGTGAACAAGTCTGGACGAATATAGAGTGATGTAAAAGTCACGTGAGCCCTGACTCAACTGATTCACACATTGTAAAATAATAAAATAAAATTCACATATTAGTTTAAAATAAAAAGACCCAGAACGTTCTGGTTCGTTCAAGAATGTTGGTTCTGTTTGTTGTTCTGTAGAGAACACTGTCACCTTAACAACCTGGAAAATCAGGTCACAGGTCTTCGACGTCAGCAGACGTACGTACGTTACGTAAGGGGGCGTGGTCTTTTCACCACGGGGAAGTGGTTGTTGGTTGGTGTGAGACAGAGTAGGGTGGGTCTTATATTAACAGACATGTCTCCTCCTGTCTCACTTCGTGGTGTCCACAGAACAGAACCCGGTCCAGAACTGTACGGTCGCTCTCTAACTTTCAGTCTGTCGGCTTCCTCACTTTATTTTTATGAGTCACTTCAGAAACTTCGTGTTTAGCTTCTGGTTTCTCTTCTGGACTTGGACTGTGTGTTTGACTGAGGGAGTGTGGACGTCCGATGGAGGTAAGAACATTCATTCATTCATTCATTCAGCTCAGAGTTGTCCGGAGCTTTATACTACAGTAGCGTCTGTGTCCATGAACTGTAATGTGAATTATATTTTACTAAAGAAGAAAACAAAGAGTTCCACTAACTTCTATATATATAGTGTATGTATACTGAGATAGAGAGATACTTTCTTTATCCCGAGGGAAATTCAAGTATCCAGTAGCATACAAAATACAAAACATCTGAGATGTTATATATTGTTTTACAAACTCTGTAACACATCCTGTCTTTATCAGATTATTCTCAGACTTATTTCTCTTTACTTCCTCAGAATAAATATAATCTGATGATTCATACAATAAACAATGTTGGCTGACTCACAAGTCCATTAAACAGCCTGTTGTCTGAACATTACCATATTTGTAGAGTAAGGGTGACGGCCTTTATCAGACTTTTGAAATAAATGTCTCTGCCCTTCAGTTTAACCTATCAGAGAGCTACATGTGTTTCATTCCAATCTTTTGGATAGGAACCAGTAACCGCCCCAACCAGTTCCTGCCCTGATAGCGATAATGGTTCCACTGTTTCCTCTACTAAAGCCTTTGTCTGCCTGAGGCTTTAATTCCAGTGTGAAATTTGAATCATTAAAGTGTCAAATTGTTGATAATTATTAGGGGTGTAAGAATAATATTGAGATATGTCATTGTTTGAGTGTCATATTGTGTCAATTCTCAAAAACTCTGTATCGATTATTGTGTTTAAACCCCCAACAGTTGGATGGCAGTGCTGTAAACTGAGGGGGGGCTATGATGTTGGATTAATGATTTAAAAAAACATACAGTATCACAATATATCGCAGTGTATTTTATTGTGATTCTTCTATTATTTATTGATTTTCAGGAGCTATAGATTCAGAATATAGTCCAGTACTCTGAGTCTTCCACTAGGGGTCGCCTAAGCTTCACAGGTGGTTGTGAGAACTTCTTGATTTTAAGGGGTGTAAGAAAACTTAATATACGTCGGCCTGTAGCGTTTAGTTAATTTCTGTAAAGAAAAGTAAATGATGAGAAATGTTCTCTGTTGTCCAGGTCAGCCTCGTGTGGTCGGGTCTCTTCAGCCAATCGTCGCCGTTCTGGGCGATGACGTCATCTTGCCATGCTGCCTGCAGCCTTCGTTAAACGTGGAGCGGCTGACGGTGGAGTGGTCGAAGCCCGACCTGAAGCCCGACCCCTCAGATCGGCTCAGTCGGGTCGACTATGTGCACCTTTACAGGGACCGTCGGGAAGACATGGACATGAAGCTCCAGTCGTACGTCGGGAGGACGGAGCTCTCCAAGGACGGCCTGAAGAGCGGAGACATCTCGCTCAAGATCCTGAATGTGACGCTGGAGGACGGAGGGAGATACAGATGTTTCATCCCAAAGTTAAATGGCCCAGTGAAGGAATCAGTTGTTACACTTGTTGTAGGTGAGTGCAGTTGTTTACATCAGGGGCCAAACTTTGGGTCTCGGAGGGCCGAGACTCAGTCTGAATATTCAAAGACGAGAACTTTGGATTTTCTGTCCAAAGGTCAAAACTAAACTAGGATTTTGTGAACAACTTATGTGACCGTCGTCCTATAATTGTTTTTTCTCTTTAATATTGTGTTTTAAATCATTATAAATCTGTTTTTTTCAGAACCAAACTCTGTTCAAACGACGACAGAGACGCCGCTGGATGACAGAGATCTCCAACTTGCAGATCCAAACAATGAGACGAACGTTAGAGGTGAAGAATCTTCTGTGTTGTCAGAAACTGAATCACACTTTGTGTTTATTTCAGTCACTGTAACTTTTCTCTCTGTTTGCTTTCTTCACATCAGCTGGTCGTTCCCATCCTGGCGCTCTGATCGTTGTGGTTGTCTGCGTCTTACTGGTCCTGGGTGGTGGAGTCGGTGGATATTTACTTAAACACAAGAAACAACAGGAAGTGAGTGTAAATCCTTGTTGTGTAAATCATACCAGACTTTTTAAGGAGACAGCTGACTAATTGTTAAACTTCTGTTCATTGTCTTCCAGGTTCTGGAGTATGACGTAGCCTGAAACAAACCATCTCCAGTCTAGGTGCCTTGCTCAAGGGCAGGTTGGTAGTTGATGTTAATTGAAGTGAGAGTGTTTCCCTCTCTTGGATCTGTATCATCAGTTCAGGGATTCAAACCAGCAGCAGGTCCAGCTGCAAGTGAACCAGCTGGTTCAGCAGCAGTGACACCTTCAGATCTTGGATCCTGGAGGAAGTTGGCCCTGTTGGAGAAAAGTCGACTTTACTGACTGATGGAGTATCTTCTGGTAACCTTTGGTTTGGACTTTAGAAAGAACAGCCTGCAGAAGAACTGTGACAGAACTGTAAATCATCTTTTGGGCTCTCGTCCAATGACATGGTAGCTACAAGTTATAGTTTTTTGTAATTTTTGCAGCTCGTCACTCATTTTCAGCTCTTTGAGTGAGCAACCAGAGACAGTACTTCACCTCGGACCTCAAAGCGACTGAAAAGCTCGTCCTGTCCCGATCACACGGAATTGAAGTTTAATTCTGGTATTCTGTATCCGGCAGAACTTGTTTAACAGTTTAACCGTCCTCTTCCTGCTAATCAGGAAGATTATTTGTGTCCAAAGGATTTGAATGACAACAACACCACATGTTGCCCTCTGATAGGTCAAAGCAGGAACCGGATGCAGCTGCTGTTTTACACATGACTACATTCAAACGGGTTGCACCTCACAAAGTAGTTCCTCCACAGAGATTGTTGAGAGTTTACATCCACTAACTTCCAGGTGGAACTGCTGCAACGTACCTCCAGTTATGAGACGTTGTGCCAATAACATTTGTTTAAACAGCTAAATAACGCCAGTTAGCTTAGCATAATCAGAGTGACTATTGACTGTGAGACACATACTGTATTTCTGCTTGTATGCTATAAGTTTTAATGGTGCAACCTGATTTAGTGAATAATCAGTCTGAAACAAATTAGTAGTTAGTAAAAACTTAATTTATTTGTACAACTCAGTCTTACCTCTAACTGAATGAGAAGAATATATATGGGGTGTTTTTGTATTTTAAGGACGAAAGTTACAAGACGTAAAGGGGAAATGTGACTTACAGTTGATTCCCCACCTGTTTAGACTGATCTGAATCAGTTAATGGTGTTAAAACTGTGTGATTCAGCAGACAGCAGTGTCTGTGTTTTTTGATGACATTTAATTTATATTATTTAAGTTAGGATGATGATTTGTGGTCACCACTCCTTTATTCACTATGACTGTGAGAAACATTCAGAATACAAGCTGAGGTTGTCTGGCACATTCAGAGCTGAATTTTTCTCTTTTTATAAAAACTAAATTTAACTTTAAGAGCTCTACACTCCCTGAACATCAGCTGTGAAAGTGCCTTTGAGCAGGGCACCTAGCCCACACTGAATCTATATACTATATATATATATTTGTATATTGTCATTGTTGACATTGTTCTGTTTGTTAGAAATTAAATTAAAGTGCTGTGATCTTGAATGTTAAAACCTCTTGAACCTCTTGAATTTAAGTTATTTTACTAATTTGTGTTATGCTGTTTAGGCTCTGAATAAAAATCTCCACAGTGGGATTAAATGTTAGTATTTTAGTGTTCTTTATACGTCTTTTACATTCTGGATGTTATGAGGTAGTACAGTACATTCAAGGTGTTTAAAATAAGAGTTTGCACTATTATTCTCAAATATTTCTGCTTTGTTGTTGAATATTAATTGTTAACACAGCGGATAAAAGTCAAATAAATCCCATTTTCAAACAACCACAGTGTGTCGTGTTCATTGTGTCTGTGGACAGCTCCTCTCTGTTACACTCATTGTGTCTGTTTGCATTTATCTCTGTCAGTTATGAGAGATCATAATCTGGTATGTATATGTACGGGGAAAGATCGCCCTGATTGACCGGGTCTGTGGATAGTTCTTTAAGATACACCAGCTTGCCCGGTCACGCCCTACGGTTTACTTATAAAGCACCTGTGCTGGCGTGTAATCAGTGATAGTTTGATCGAAACGTGTCTCTGAGCGGCCTAGAAGCTGGACAGATAGTCTGTTCACTCAGACAGTCTCTATCGTCTCAAGACTCTCCATCCTTTTCATATTTAATATGTACGGGGAGATGGCACAGCCCACAAGCCCAATACACAAACGTGCAACAAACAAACAATTTACAAATGTACACTATTTACATACTTCATACTACATACATCAGATCAAGGCCCCGCAAGACGCAAAGGCCAAGCCTGAGAGGCAGAAGGTCTTCTCAGGTCAGTCCGCAAGCCACAAGACTGATCAGGGAGACGACAGCTGGTGGAAAAGTAGACATCGCCCATAGTCGTATTACAAATGAGTCACATTTCAAATCACGAGTCACACCCAACCCACAACAGCTGACTGCAGCATTCAGCATCTTGTTGGTATGGTAGCCTTACCACATACATCTGCTGAAATATCTCCATGATCCAGTGGGACAGCCTAGGCTCTGATATGGGCCTGTCTGTATGACTGACAAAGCAGATGAAGAGCTGATCAGTCTACCAACTGAGATAGGTGGACCTCAGACAGAACCTTAGGCAGGAAAGCTGGGTTGCACGATGCTCCACCCATCTGGCGACAACCTACAGCAGTCACTGTGAGCTGACGGGGCTTGGAGTTCACTTATCCTCCCTGGTGGAAGTTATGGCTACCAGGAATGCATTTTAAGGGAAAGCCACTTCAAATCAGCACCCCCAAAGCTCAAGGGCGGGTTGCTGAAGTGCACTTAGGACTTTATCCAAGTCCCTGATGCTGATGTCCTGAGACACAGCATACATCTGTCATGACCACATGGCACAGAAATACCACACCCCCCACAAGAATGTCCCTGTTGGCTCTCGATACTAGATAAACTACAACTGTCAGGGGGGACAGAAACTGGGGACCGGCAGCAATCTGGAAACTCACTTCCTGGTTTATGGCCAGCTACAGGAAAAAATACTAGCCTTGCGAATACACACAAAGTTTGTGGCTTTAGTTTATTGGCCTCATTCCCCGTACATATGGAATATGTAAGGGAGTGGAGAGAGGATAGAGAACTCACCTTGATCAAATCAGCTTCCAAATAGTTTCTGTTTCAGTCATAAATGATAAGATCAAGTTCAAGCTGCCATGTTGAGCAACAGACATCCGCTCTGTCTGTCTCTCAGCCAACCTCTGTCTGATGTTGAGCTAAAGTCTCTTCTAATATAGTCTCACTGAAGCATTATCTATCAGTTTACACACTTCCCTCTGTTCTCAGTTGATATTACAGTAAATAGAAACCTTATATTGTCTGCCAGTAGAGTTTAGAATACAACAGTTGACTTATTACCATTATTATATATCAGGCTCTACATGGTGGAGTCCCTGAGCACATTTCTGAATGACTGCGTCCATATTGGATCTTAAAGTCTCTCAGGTCAGCTGACCAGGGTCACTGCAAGTTCCCTGAGCTCCACTTCATAATGAAGACCGACCTTAAACTCTCTAACAGTTTACCTCTTACTGTCAGATAATCAAACTCACCTGATATATCTGAAAAACGTCTAAACACTCACTTATAAAAAGAGAGAAATTATAAGTTTTCCTTTTACTTGTACAGAATATAGTCTGTGTTCTGTGTATCTGCTGGTTGTCCAGTTGTGTGGCTCCCTCTACTGTTAAAACAGTGACACAACAGTCTAAAGTAATTGTACATGGAGTCTGTGGAGGCTGTGAGGATGAATGAGGAGTACTCTATGGAAGCCGCTTTCTACCAATGTAAGGGGAAAAGAATATTCTGTAAGTCATTATAATGAGTTCTCAAAACAATGACTTAGTATCACAAAGTACTTTGTTAAAAGCTGGTAGAATTAGTTTTTAAGGGAAGCATAATTCAAGGTGTTAAGAGCCCCACATAGTGGAAGGATTACAGTGATAGAAGGCATTTCTGGTGGCGTAAAATATTCATTTATCTATACTGATGGTAGACGATGATGTGCTATATCACCTTGCTTGACTATCTTCTAATTCCACTAAGGTTTTATTTCACCAGAGTGGAGAGTTGTACCTGCAGCTTCTTTGTTAAAAGCTGGTAGAATGAGTTGTTTCCCCAGAAAGGTACCCGACTGTTACATGTTTTTCTTGTTGTAAAGTGAATTACACAGTGACCCAGATGCAGCCACATGTTTATCACACATCCTAAAGGTGGGCTGGTTTCACGTCTACATCTTATACATGCTGTTACTGGTCTGCGCAGAGGAAGTGGTCGGCACACTTTGTATAAGTTAGTCATTTTCCATTCAGCAGTGAGACAGGATGAAGATCGATGTGTTATTTCTCAGTCTTTGTAAGTAACAATGTCCTTTTTTTTTTACCATATATCTCACAGGATATCTTATCGGCTCAAACTCAACAGATATCAAACATTATCCTGATCTCTCTTCTTTCTCTCTCTGCTGTCTGTGTGTTTGTCAGGTGTGTTTCATACACTCGCCTCATCTGATACCAGAAAAGAAGGTAATGAGCTCTTTATGTGCAGATACAGCAACATGTAAAGATGGTGGTGAGAGAGTCCTTCTGCAAAGTCTTCTGGTTGCTTGAGGTTCATTTATGATAAAAGTCTTCATTTGCAACAATAGTTAAAGTCCAGATGAAACGGAAATCGTGAAACAGATGAGTGCTATTTGCTTCTGCATGTTTCCTGTAAAAACAGGCAGTTAGGGAGGGAAAGGGGCCGATAGTGGTAACACACAGCACTAATGGCAGCTACATTAGCAGTTAGCAGAGTTGAGGCAGAGCAGCCGGAGGAATATGGTCCAGTTTTCACCTAAATCACTGATAAAGTTGTGCTTTTGTACAATAATCAGTGACATTCTGCCCCCAGAAACACTTCTCTCTGGTAGCGAACCATGTTTTTAGCTAACTAGCAAACTTTTAAAGTTAAAGTTGATTGACGGGTGAATATCATGATATTATTGGCTATGCGTCACATTTTGTTTTACAGGAAGAAAAATCTAGTTTTTGTAGGTTGTTTAGCATTCATGGTTAAATAGGGGTAACATTAACTTGTGTATGCGATCTTAAAGGGTTAAAAAAATTAATTTCACCTGGCCTTTAAAGCAGCGACAAGGAATTTTGCTTTTGTGCTGATTCTGGGAGACCCTGTAGACAAAGCAGTAGGAAGCGTTGTCTACTGTCTTGTGTCATTGATTTCAAGGGGAGTCTGACCAAACTCAACCTTGTGGCAGGAATTAAGAATAACTATATAGAAATAGCCAATGTTGTCGCTGATGGTCTTGTTTGTTTATGTAGTCATATAGAAATATCAGTATTAAATAAGACTCTTTCATAACCAGTTCTTCCAGTAGGTTTAACGTCTATCAGACACAATCAAATTCAGAGAACAGTGGCGTGCTCAAAATGAAATCACAGCTGCCTCAACAAGCTGAGCACGAATATAATTTATCCCAAGAACGTATCTCTTGGTTTGGAGAGCTGGACCGGGTCAATTAGGGTCATCAGGTGCACTTACAAAACACTAAAAAGGGTTAATCCCATTGGTCGGGTGTCAACTGCAGCCATAACAGCCTCCATCTTGTGTTGTTTTTTGCAGCCATTCTGAGAGTCATTCCCAACAGATCCCAGTTCTTCCAGTACGGGACTGTCACTGTGAGCTGTGGGCAGCAGGGAGAGTGGAGAGTTAAGAAGAACACATCTCAAAACATGAACCAAGATTGCTTCACATCCTGGGGTGGAATAAATGAATCCCTCTGTTTCACCAATGACCTTTACCCATCAGACAGTGGAGTGTACTGGTGTGAGTCTGCAGAAGGAGAGTGCAGAGATGCCGTCAACATCACAGTGACCAGTGAGTTTAAACAATAAAAAACTGCTGTTGTCACTCTACATATCCTCCTGTGAGAGACAGGACACATACAGGGTTTTGATCACCATACTTGATGCATCATACTGGCAAAAGATCTTGTAAATTATACTGATCTGTCCCTCAGGTGGCTCTGTGATCCTGGAGAGTCCTGTTCTTCCTGTGATGGAGGGAGACAATGTGACTCTGCGCTGTACAAACAGGAGTCCCTCGGCCTCCAATCTCACTGATTTCTACAAAGACGGGTTTCTGATCAGGAGCAGCTCTACGGGAAACATGACCATCCACAGTGTCTCTCAATCTGATCAAGGACTCTACAAGTGCAGCATCTCTGAAGCTGAAGAATCACCAGACAGCTGGCTGATTGTCAGAGGTGAGAATTTTTAAGAAGCATATCTATGTATCCAGTCCCATGTTCCCAGTGTCCCAGTGTCCCTTGTTCCCCAGTTTAATATTCTTTACCCCTCCTATTATGTTTGGGTCAAAATTCTGGTCATATTCTTCTTGCAACACTACAAGGTCCTATCCCCTGACCATTGGGTTATCCTTATCCCAACCATCTTCACTTAACCCTGACAACATAGGACTTTGGAAATACAGGACTATTGGAACATAGGGCTCTGGGAACATTGGACTTTGGGAACATGGGATTTTGGGAATATAAGACTCTGGGATCATAGACCTCTGAAAACATATGGCCCTCTGTCATGTTTGTCATTATCTGCCATATAAATATGGGGAACATAAGAATCTGGGAACATAGGACCATGGGGAAAAAAGTCTTCTAGGAACATGGGGCTCTGGAAACACTTCTATACCTCAAAATCTCCTCTTAGCATGCTGATTGTGCTTGTTTTGAGTTGGAGTTTTGGATTTGAGACACGATTGGGTCCAAAATTGCAAATTAAACTAATCTAATATACAATATTTATGTAAAGTAATTCTGTAATATCATATTATAAACACACAAAGTTGAAAAACAGATGGATACATTTGGTTTATATTTCTGATTCACTGCATGAGAAAAAATTAAACTGTCAAATATTAGCTGTTTTGCTCCTTGCGTCCAATGTTTAAGTTGCACAATGAAATTAAACTCAATAATCTCCCTCCAGTGTCAGACTCAGCAGTTCCCGATGCTCCTGAGATGTCTGTGTCCAGACTGGTATGTCACATAGTCGTAGGGACTCCTTACCTGGTGTCCACCATCATACTGGGACTCATCTACAGAGACAGAAGAGGTGAGAGCTAACACTACTGATCCAGATTCGTTCTTTATCTTTCTTCTTCTTCACGTTTCTTCTTCATGTTGCAGCTCCTCGGCTTGTTGCAGAGGACAGAAGACATGACGTCATCATGGAGGTGCAATAGATGATGTCTGTGTCACATTTTTATTTGTGAATTAGTTTGTGTGTGTTTTTAAATTGTATGCTCATGAAAAACCTTTTTCTGTGTCTGACATTTATTTTGTCAAAAAGTGACGTGAGATTACAAAGAATAAAATAATTAATTAATGTAACAAAACCACTGGTATAGTTAAGAAAGCTGCTCAGAAATATACTCTGGAGCCAATGAAGGGAACTAAACAAAAAGAAAAAGAAAGTCAAAATAAGTACTGCATTTTTCACAGGAAGCTCGGAGCAGAGCTGTACTGGCACCAGAGAGAAGACGTCTTCTTCCTGTTGTGGTTGAGGTTATGCAAAGAAAAGCAGCGGCCATTTTTTATGAGGTTATGTAGTGGTTTTATTTACAAACAGGTACAGGGAGAGATTAAGAGCCACGTCCTCCATCCAGTGGTGCAGCTTAATTATGGTCGTGTCGACAAGTTCACAGAAAATATTCTAAAAGACGATGATTCAAGAAGGCTCTGCCAGATATCAGTTCATCTGTCACATCCCTATCCGCCTGTTCACCCTGCTGCCATTTGGGATAAGAAGCTTTTTCCCTTAGTCATTCTTTTTTTAACTCACTTTTTTCTAGCGTAAAGGGAACTATATTTAAATTTCATTCTACAACCATGGTTGTGAATGACAGTAAAATATCCTTGAATTGTGTTCCCGGGGAAACCTTTAAACGGATTGGTGGTATTGATTTTTTTTTGTTCCCACCCAGAACTGCAGATTCAGTCTTTTTAGAAATATGTCTTTATTTAGGAAAATATCTGATCTGTTACTTCTTAAATTTTGAGGAATTCTGTCTGAAATGTAATTTTTAGTGCAACTGTATGATAAGGTTCCCTAAAGCAACTTCTTTTATTTTTCCTTTAAATTAATTATTATTTTTATTTTATTCAGGGTGTGAACTACAGGGGAGCCTCTTAATAAGATATGAACTCCCCTGAAAACATGATTTGTGACATTCTGGGTGGTAATGCTGGTAATAACAGCCCCTCCAAAAGACATTTTAGCTTTTTAGCTGCTAGAAAAAAATTCTTTTTATTATGTAAAATGTTTTATTTATTTCTTTCTAGAAGATTGTGATGCATGCATTGCAGAAGAAAGTTAAATAATTCATCAAAAACTGAAGGCAACTTGTTTCCAGTGAGACAGGGATTAAACTTCCTGGAGGGACTTGTAAGGGTTAACTCATCACTAATCCACTTTAAAAATGATTCTTCTGCTCCTACCATCACCGCTGGAGCGTGACAGCCAAATATCATTAACTTCAGATCACAAAATATCAGGAAATATCCAACTGATTTTATTTTCTGTCTCTGATTAAGGTTTAATATTTCTGCATTGTTTCTATATAACAACATAGTTTGGGCTCCTAATAACTCATATTCTTTCTAATATTCTAAATATCCTATTATTAATACTTATTTCAGGGCCTTAAACCTTAGAATTTACATTTACTGCCCCTCTTATTACAGAGCGACTGTTCTTACCCGGATATGATGAAACCGAAACTCGGTCTCTGATTGGCTAGGAGCGCTGTCTGCCTTTAGCATTGACTGTATATGAGTCTTTAGTCTGTTTATTAAGGCCAGTTTTATGTTTTATCTCAGGATTTTTGTGCTTCACTTCACTTTTCTCTCCTGGACTTTATATCCGAGAACCGGAGTCTGGACCTCTGATGAAGGTAAACTCACGTTTTTCGTTACTTAACGTTACTTTGGTCGAGTTCCTGTTACGTTAGCAAGTTTAGCTTAACTCTATTAACACTGTGAACCTTCGGGTCGACTGTTGGCGACAGTTGGTTTCTTTAGGCAACAAGAATTGTATTGATGAAGTTAAATGCTTTATTGTGTAATATTGATTGGGATAAATAATAACTAACTCAACTCTAATGCACTGTCACATTCACTTTAGCCACCATTAGCCTCCTGTTGATGCTACTCCAACCGGTATTTTCACAATAAAAGGCCTCTGCGTGAGAGGAAATATTCAGTAACTTCACATTTATGCAGTATTGTCTCCTCACATTCACTTCACACACCATCCACCTCCTGCTGAGGATGCTACAACAGGTTATTTAACAACTAAAGGCTTATATGTCTGTAGTTTTATTATTATAAAGGAGTGTTAGTAATCCCCCTTTTTAAAATGCAAGGAACAAAACAGAAAAACAGGGAAAATGTGCAACAGAAATAAACATTAGTGATTATATTTTATAATTTTTGTATGTTTTTTTTTCCTTAAACATCAAAATATCCACTTATCTTTGTTGTATCTGAATTGGACAAAAGGTGTGTGCACTAAATATTCAAGGTCTATTTCTGTTGCCATATTTATTGAGAAAATTCCATATAATCTTACTTTATCAATCTCAATTAATATAATTTTCTTTTGTTTGTATTTTCAGTGTTTGGGTGTGTTTAAATATAATATGTAAATGCAACTTTAATCAGAAAGCACTAAATATAAGATGGAGTGTGTATTTGTCGGGTAATTCCTGAAGGCGGCCGATTCATAAAGACATCCTGATTAAAATTGTTTCATTCTGATGATGACTCTTTGTTTTGAGAAGAGGAAAGGAGGCAGGAGGACAGTAATGCATTGTAGTCATAGTTTCTGAATATTTCTCCCAATAAATACGTCCCAAATTATACAAAAGCATTTATTTTCCTGAATACCTGTTGTAGTATCATCCACACAAGGCCGGTGACGTGTGGAGTCATTTTGGTGAGGCTAGAATGTATTAAGGTCCAGTTATTGATTATTTTTTGTGGTATGTCTTTATTGAATTTTGTTGACGGGTGTACATAGAGATTATTATGATTAGTGACGTCAACATCGAGGTAAACTGTTATTTTTCTGAATATGTTTCCAACTTTACTGCGATCGTAAAACTGTCACAAAGGTTTCAACGTAAAGAAACTCTGACCCCAAGGTTTAAATGTTCTCTGTTGTCCAGGTCAGCCTCGTGTGGTCGGGTCTTTTCAGCCAATCGTCACCGTTCTGGGCGATGACGTCATCCTGCCGTGCCGCCTGCAGCCTTCGTTAAACGTGGAGCGGCTGACGGTGGAGTGGTCGAGGCCCGACCTGAAGCCCGACCCCTCAGATCGGCTCGGTCGGGTCAACTATGTGCACCTTCACAGAGGCGGCCACGACAACCTTGACATGAAGCTCCGGTCGTACGTCGGGAGGACGGAGCTCTCCAAGGACGGCCTGAAGAGCGGAGACATCTCGCTCAAGATCCTGAACGTGACGCTGGAGGACGGAGGGAGATACAGATGTTTAATCCCGAAGTTAAAGGGCCCAGTGAAGGAATCAGTTGTTACACTTGTTGTAGGTGAGTGCAGTTGTTTACATCAGGGGCCAAACTTTGGGTCTTGGAGGGACGAGACTCAGTCTGAATATTCATAGATGAGAGCTTTATTTGTATTTTCTGCCCAAAGGTCAAAACTAAACGATGAATTTGTGAATGTGTATGTAGGAAAATTAATGTGTTTTTGTGTAATATTTATTGGGATAAATAATAACTAACTCAACTCTTATGCACTGTAGTCCCATCACATTCACTTTAGCCACCATTAGCCTCCTGTTGACGATGACTTCACACACAATCCACCTCCTGCTGAGGATGCTACAACAGGTTATTTGACAAATAAAGGCTTTATTATCTGTACTGTTATGTGTCTGTAGTTTTATTATTAAATTGGAGTTCTAATTTCACTACTGCTATAATAGCAGTGATCCCCCTTTTTTAAAATGCACACAAACCAGATGTGAAGCTAAACAAGGAACAAAACAGAAAAACAGGGAAAATGTGCAACTGAAATAAACATTAGTGAATATATTTTATAATTTTTCAGTGTTTGTGTTTGTTTAAAGTAGATCAAATCAGAAAGAAAACTAAATATAAGATGGAGTGTGTCTTTGTTGGGTAATGCCTGAAGGTGTCCGATTCATAAAGACATCCTGATTAAAATTAAATGATTAAACATGGTGGTGGTGTTGTGTAGACATTGGAGGTTTCCAACTTTACTGCAGTGGGAAAACTGTCACAAAGGTTTCAACGTAAAGAAAATCTGACCCTAAGGTTTAAATGTTCTCTGTTGTCCAGGTCAGCCTCGTGTGGTCGGGTCTCTTCAGCCAATCGTCGCCGTTCTGGGCGATGATGTCATCCTGCCGTGCCGCCTGCAGCCTTCGTTCAACGTGGAGCTGCTGACGGTGGAGTGGTCGAGGCCCGACCTGAAGCCCGACCCCTCAGATCGGCTCGGTCGGGTCGACTATGTGTACCTTTACAGGGGCCGTCGGGAAGACACGGACATGAAGCTCCAGTCGTACGTCGGAAGGACAGAGCTCTCCAAGGACGGCCTGAAGAGCGGAGACATCTCGCTCAAGATCCTGAACGTGACGCTGGAGGACGGAGGGAGATACAGATGTTTCATTCCGAAGTTAAATGGCCCAGTGAAGGAATCAGTTGTTACACTTGTTGTAGGTGAGTGCAGTTGTTTACATCAGGGGCCAAACTTTGGGTCTTGGAGGGACGAGAATATTCAAAGATGAGAACTTTGGATTTTCTGTCCAAAGGTCAAAACTAAACTAGGATTTTGTGAACAACTTATGTGACCGTCGTCCTATAATTGTTTTTTTCTCTTTAATATTGTGTTTTAAATCATTATAAATCTGTTTTTCAGAACCAAACTCTGTTCAAACGACGACAGAGACGCCTCTGGATGACAGAGATCTCCAAACTCCAGATCCAAACAATGAGATTAACGTTAGAGGTGAAGAATCTTCTGCGTTGTCAGAAACTGAATCACACTTTGTGTTTATTTCAGTCACTGTAACTTTTCTCTCTGTTTGCTTTCTTCACATCAGCTGGTCGTCTCTATCTGTTTACACTGATCCCGTCTTTGGTTATCATCTTCTTACTGCTGCTGGCCTATGGAGTCGGTGAAACCTACCTACGCGGGGCTTTGTCTAGCACACGGCCGTGATGGTCGAGGGAGTGCTGGTCCTCATCCCTCAGGGCCCCGCCTTCTCCTCGTGTCAATGTTTACAACTTCATTGATCAAAGTGTGAGAACAGATATCCGGTTAAACTGCTCGAGAGATGTGGAATGATATTTCCAGCTAATGAGCATTTATAATTCAGTATTTAATCAATAGTCAGTGTCAATCCATTGCCTTTCATCTTACATCACAGAGTTTTAAAGTTATTGTTATGTAAAATTATGAGTGCCATCACATCACGCCCAGTAGGGTTGAGTGATGTGTTCACTGGACCTTCAGTCCAACAATCGGTTATATATTAAGTGCCTCTGATTGTTGACATTACTTGCAACGAGCTCTGACAGCAATAATAAAGAAAATAAACTCACTAAAGAAAAACACTTTTCAACTTAAAACAGTAAATATGTATAAATATATAAAATACCGTACGCCTTAATTAAAGCTTCCAAACTGAGACCTTGTTAAAGGATTTTAAAACACGTTCAAACTCTACAGAAGCTGAATCAAAGTCACTAAACCAGCTTTGTTAATCTTTACACTATTCCAACAATCAATAACTCTGCTGTCTGATGCCCCCGACCTCCCTCACTCCTCTACCTGCCCCCCAGCCTGCCCCGGAGTCAGAGTCCTGGTTGGCGTCTCTCTGACTCGTCCAAATAAACCCTGAATTCACAGAAGTTTAATGTGTAAATTCTCTACAGCTGAGTAGCTTTTATTCTTTAGAGGCAGGACATTAAGTTAACTAAATAAAATAACAAAAATCAGCCAAAACAACAAAACAACCATTGATGGCCTTAGCCGATATAGTCATCCAATCGCACACATCTCTTTTTAAATGGGCAACTGTGGTTCAGGAGGTGGAGCATCCACGTAGAAGTGTCCGTGTCCCGAACCCTGAGTCAGTCCTGATGCTGCACCGTCAGTGTGTGAACGGGTGAATGTGGCGCGTAGTGTAAAGAATGGATGTAAGCAGAGAACAAAGTCATTAAAATACCTCTTTCACTTTAAATGTTACGTTGTTGATGCAGTGTTGTACGTCTGGGATTGTGCGGTACTGTCAGGGTTTTTTAAAACTTTTCTACAATGTGTTTGTACTGTATTATTATTATTGTCGAATGTTACTGCTTTGATGTTGACTTGAACAGTGAAATATGAATTTGTAATACAGTGAAATAAAACCTATTTTCAGACATTCAGTGTTCATTGTGTCTGTCTGTCTCTCAGCCAACCTCTGGCTGATGTTGAGCTAAAAGTCTCTTCTAATATAGTCTCACTGAAGCATTATCTATCAGTTTATACACTCCCCTCTGTTCTCAGTTGATATTACAGTAGATAGAAACCTTATATTGTCTGCCAGTAGAGTTTAGAATACAACAGTTGACTTATTACCATTATTATATATCAGGCTCTACATGGTGGAGCCCCTGAGCACATTTCTGAATGACTGCGTCCATATTGGATCTTAAAGTCTTGTAAAATATCTGCCAGTCTTTACCTCCAGACCCTCTTAAACCCTCTTGATCACAACAGCCGCAGTGGCTGCGGTGTAAAAGCTACAGATTATTTATGGTCTATGCTTTCTGGTGTGATATGTACGATTGGCTGTAACATTTCACCAGAGATTATTATTATTACATCAGGATCACAGAAGGTAAGAAAACTGAATTTCTGTTGAATATTAGATTTATTTTAGGAAAATCCTTTAATCCACAAACACAAATGTATTAAGACACAGCCCTTAATGTAAAGGTTTTAATGAAAGAATTAACTCTGTACTACAAATCACTGAAATCTATAGAAAATAACAATGATTATAACAGTTTTAGTTTTATTTCTGTCTTTTATTAAGGTTTAACATTGTTTACATTGTGTCATACTGTACTATAATTATACTTCTACCCGGAAATGCCCGAAGGTTACCTTTATTCACGAAGTCACATCATTTCATTCATGTGGCGTTAGCTGTCAGGACCAATGAGCAGCAGAGGGGCGGGGACAACGGGGGAACTCCAATGTACTGTGTCACTGGTTCATGCCACGCTGTTGTCAGTCTGTCAGCTCCCCGCGAACAGTTGGGCTCTGTCGGATCAGTTTTCCGGGTCTCTTCGGGGAGTTTGGACCTGGACTGTGTATTTGAGAATCTTACTGAGTTATTTATTTAAGTTAACGGTCGCGTTAAAGTTACTTTCTGTTTAATGACTGCGCAGTCACATGGGTTCAGGCACGAGGACCCTGCATCCGGTGAGATATGATGATGATGATGATGATGATGATGATGATTTTGTTGTGATGTTGTTGGAATAGATTTGTGTTTGCTTGGTGTTTGGGGGAAGAGGGCGTGTGTGTTTGTGTGTTTGTCTGTGTTTGTCTATGTGTGTATATGTGTGTGTTTGTGTGTGTAGGTGTATGTATATGTGTTTATTTGTATGTATGTGTATAGGTGTGTATATGTGTGTGTGTGTGTGTGTGTGTGTGTGTGTGTGTATGTGTGTGTGTGTGTGTGTGTGTGTGTGTATGTGTTTGTTTGTGTGTGTGTGTGTGTGTTTGTGTGTTTGTCTGTGTTTGTCTGTGTGTATATGTCTATATGTCTATATGTGTGTGTATATGTGTGTATATATATGTGTGTGTGTGTATGTGTTTCCATATGTGTTTATGTGTGTGTTTGTGTGTATAGGTGTATATATATGTGTGTGTGTATATGTGTATATATATGTGTGTGTGTGTATGTGTTTCCATATGTGTTTATGTGTGTGTTTGTGTGTATAGGTGTATATATATGTGTGTGTGTATATGTGTATATATGTGTGTGTGTGTGTGTGTGTGTGTGTATGTATATGTGTTTATATGTATGTGTGTGTATAAGTGTATATATATGTGTGTGTTTATGTGTGTGTTTGTGTATAGGTGTATATATCTATGTGTATGTGTATGTGTTTGTGTATGTGTGTGTATAGGTGTATATATATATGTGTGTGTTTATGTGTGGGTTTGTGTGTATAGGTGTATATATATATGTGTGTTTATGTGTGGGTTTGTGTGTATAGGTGTATATATATATGTGTATATGTGTATATGTGTTTGTGTGTATAGGTGTATATATATGTGTGTGTGTGTGTGTCTGTGTGTGTGTGTGTGTGTGTGTGTATGTGTATGTATATGTGTTTATGTGTATGTGTGTGTATAGGTGTATATGAACTTTTAATGTATTCATTAACTAGCTGTTAAAGATGTCAAACTAACACTAAGTTGTTTTTTTCTTTATTTTAGCTGAACATAAACACCCAGAGGCCTGTTCCCTGAAACAAACAGAGTCACAGGGAGCTCACCGTTGGAGAATTTCAAGGTTATGGTTGGTTCCATTTTCCTATTCTGGACTTTGACTGTATGTTTGAGTACGACAGCCTCGACTTCCAAAGAAGGTAAGCTTGTGGAATTATTGAGAAGTAAACTACAAGTTGAGATAATGTTATTACTGTCACTCATAACTCAGATCCCAAGATTTAAATGTTCTCTGTTGTCCAGGTCAGCCTCGTGTGGTCGGGTCTCTTCAGCCAGTCGTCACTCACATTGGCGATGACGTCATCTTGCCGTGCCGCCTGCAGCCTTCGTTAAACGTGGAGCGGCTGACGGTGGAGTGGTCGAGGCCCGACCTGAAGCCCGACCCCTCAGACTGGCTGACTCCGATTGTGCACCTTCACAGAGGCGGCCACGAAAACACGGACATGAAGCTCCGGTCGTACATCGGGAGGACGGAGCTCTCCAAGGACGGCCTGAAGAGCGGAGACATCTCGCTCAAGATCCTGAACGTGACGCTGGAGGACGGAGGGAGATACAGATGTTTCATCCCGAAGTTAAAGGGCCCAGTGAAGGAATCAGTTGTTACACTTGTTGTAGGTGAGTGCAGTTGTTTACATCAGGGGCCAAACTTTGGGTCTCGGAGGGTTGAAATGGTTTCTCTTTAATATTGTGTTTTAAATTATTATAAATCAGTTTTTTCAGAACCAATCTCTGTTCAAACGACGATAGAGACACAGCTGGATGCCAGACAAATCAAAAATCCAGATCCAAGGATCCCAAGTTAGTCACTTATTTATGTAAACCATGTACAACTCTAACGCTAACTTTGTGTTCTTTGTACATCAGTCACTGTAACTTTTCTCTCTGTTTGCTTTCTTCACATCAGTTGGTCGTTCCCATCTGGGCATTCTGATCGTTGTGGTTGTCTGCGTCTTACTGGTCCTGGGTGGTGGAGTCGGTGGATATTTACTTAAACACAAGAAACCACAGAAAGTGAGTGTAAATCCTTGTTGTGTAAATCATACCAGACTTTTTAAGGAGACAGCTGACTAATTATTAAACTTCTGTTCATTGTCTTCCAGCTTCTGGGGTATGAATTTTACCAAAACAAACCATCTCCAGTCTAGGTGCACGTTGGTGCTTGATGTTAAAGGAGGTGAGAATGTTTCCTGCTCTTGGATCTGTCTCATCAGTTCGGTGATTCAAACCAGCAGCAGGTCCAGCTGAAAAGGAATCACCTCAACCAGAGAACATTTCAAGGGCCTGTTTAATGATGGCGACTGAGAGTTTTGACTCTCTGAGGGAGGAGTTAAAGAGTTTGATGGTCACAGACAGGAATGACTTCTTGTGCCAGTCTGTGGTGCGTCTCTGTGGAATGAGTCTTGCACTGAAAGTCCGCCTGTGTTTGACCAGTTCATTGTTAGGGTGGGAGACATTGTCCAAGATGATATATAGCTTGCACAGCATCCTCCTCTCTGACACTGCTGTCAAAGAGTCCAGCTCGTCTAGCTCGCAGTGAGCAGGTGCCATCGTGTCAAATCTGTGAAACACACGAACACCTCGGCCAACACATAGTCATGAATTCTATTCTGGTATTCTGAAACTCTTCCTGCTTCTCAGGACAATTATGGATTACTTGGTCATTGTCCAAAAGATTGGAATGAAGCACCACATGTTGCCTTCAGATCAACCTCCGTAAATCAGGGGTCAGGTGCAGCAGCTGTTTCAGAGGTTGCACCTCACAAACTAGTTCCTCCAGAGATTAGTTGAGTGTTTAGTTCGAGAAACATTCAGAATACAAGCTGAGGTTGTCACATTCAGAGCTGAATTTTCTGTTTTTATAAAAACTAAATTTAACTTTAAGAACTCTACACTCCCTGAACATCAGCTGTGAAAGTGCCTTTGAGCAGGGCACCTAGCTCACACTTAATTTATATACTATATATATATTTATATGTTGTCATTGTTGACAGTGTTCTGTTTATTTAAAATTATTTTATATTTTGTTATGCTGTTTTGAGACATAAAGGTGAAATGTGAGTTAAAGTTAAACCTGTTCAGACTAATTTAAATCATAGTTAATGGTGTTAAAACTGAAGTTGTCTGGCACATTCAGAGATTAATTCCACTCCCTGAACATCAGCTTTGTAAGTGCCTTTGAGCAGGGCACCTCGCCCACGTAAAATATTCACCTCATGTGTTATGCTGTTCACGCTCTAAATAAAATCTGGGTTTCCCCAATAAAACGGAGGCATTTTTTTGTTCTTTGCAGCAGCAGTGAGACCTTCAGATCTTAGATCCTGAAGGAAGTTGACTTTACACTCTGTCACTCATTTTCTTTGAGTGAGCAGCCGGAGACACTACCTCACCATGGAACTTGAGAGTAACTAAAAACAACTGTAATGAATACAGTATTTATTATCTTATTTAAAACATATTAACATTTACATTTACATTAACATCTATTTATTTAAGAAAAAGTTTAAGTAAAAGTTAAAGTATTTACTTGCTTGTGTTAGATTCTGAATAAAAGTCTCCAAAGTGGTATTAAATGTTAGTATTTTAATGTTCTTTATACATCTGTTACATTCTGGAGGTTATGTATCTGCTGGTTGTCCAGTTGTGTGTCCCTCTACTGTTAAAACAGTGAAACTACAGTCTAAAGTCATTGTACATTGAGTCTGTGAAGGCTGTGAGGATGAATGAAGAGTACTCTATGGAAGCCCATTTCCACCAATGTAAGGAGGAAAATATTCTGTAAGTCTGATGGTATGAAGGTGTTCTGTCATTAACCAGAATATTTTAGAAGTTGAACCTCATGATGGCGCCAGAATTACCAAATTTGAAACCATTTCTGAACCAAAGGTTTTAGAGAGGTTTCAGTTTGGGCCAATGTGCTGGACAGACTGACATACACACTGCTAGCATGGGTAAAAACAGCTTTGGGACTCAATAATAGAGAAAATTACTAAAGATGGAGATTTTACATTTAAAACTTAAAACTATCATAAAGCTCCAATGAAAGACAATCCAAATGATCAACATCTGTGGACATGAATGAATCAAAAAAATTAGGACAGGACTGCAGTTTACAGATATTCAAGACAATAAACTTCCATTTCCAAGCACTCGTTTTCTTCTCATAAAAACATTCACATAAAATGTGGCAAGATTTCTCTCTAAAGGACCAGTGTGCAGGATTTGGTGGAGGTGAGAATGCAGATTGTACAAAACGACTTGACTCACACGTGTAGGAGAAACTACGGGGGCTGCAAAACGCACAAAAGTGTTTCAATCACTCGCCTCATCTGATACCAGAAAAGAAGGTAATGAGCTCTTTATGTGCAGATACGACAACATGTAAAGATGTACAATATACAGAATTGAATAATTATCCAGCCATAAACTCAAACAGTTGTGAAGGATTCAGTTTGATTCCCGATGTACTGCAGGAGAAGAGCTGGACTGGTGAAGCTGTTTTGGAGGCCTCTGTGCGGGCTGTAACACAATCAAGAAGCAGTAACAAAAAGTGGTCTCCCCCATATATTTACTTTGATCTGCGTTGTCAGAAACTGAATCACACTTTGTGTTTATTTCAGTCACTGTAACTTTTCTCTCTGTTTGCTTTCTTCACATCAGCTGGTCGTTCCCATCTGGGCGCTCTGATTGCTGTGGTTGTCTGGGTCTTACTGGTCCTGGGTGGTGGAGTCGGTGGATATTTACTTAAACACAAAAACAACAGGAAGTGAGTGTAAATCCTTGTTGTGTAAATCATACCAGACTTTTTAAGGAGACAGCTGACTAATTATTAAACTTCTGTTCATTGTCTTCCAGCTTCTGGAATATGACGATGCCCCAAACAAACCATCTCCAGTCTAGGTGCCTTGCTTAAGGGTGTGTTGGTAGTTGATTTTAATGTAGGTGGGAGCGTTTTTGTCAGTAATGTCAGTGTGATCACTCGTCGTCATTTGTGTGTGTTTTAAATCTCTTATGGTGCTCTGACACTGATTTATTATGACTTATCTTCATTGCAGTTCACTGTTACTGGTCATTTTAGAGCTGCACACGTTCACTCGTTTAATTCACCTCTGACGTTACATCATGTAACATCTGATTGGGATGGGAAGGCCTGCTTTGATCATCTTACATTGGGGCTTTTTGCTGACGCTGTCCCTGTGACCTGTGACCTCCTTTAGGTTTGTAGACAACTTCCCAGTGGCAATAGGAGCACTGTATCATTGCAGTGTAAAATTCCTTCACATGTGGGGCTTTCCATTCAGCAGCTGTTCAAAGTAGATATCCATAAAAACCTTTTTTCCTTCTTATTGTTTCCCTGTGTTGGGAGGGAATAACTGAGGTGAGGGATGGGAAGTTCGGCTCTTTTCAGAGAGCCCAATCAGAGTACGGTCCAGGAGCGCGGTACACTATAATAAATAGAACTGGCTGCAGTGTTTTCCAGTTTGGGTGAGAAAGACTAAGAACAAGGCTTTCAAATGAATTATAATTTAGTTTAGGTTTAGGGTCCATTAAAACGCTCGAATCATATATGGCTGCTACTCCACCTCCTCGGCCTGTGCCTCGAGGAATGTGAGTATTAATATGACTGGGGGGGGGACCTGATAGGCTAACATACTCCTCGTGGGACAACCAGGTCTCAGTAAGACAAAGTAAATCAATATCATAATCTGATATTAATTCATTCACTAAAACAGCTTTAGAGGACAGAGACCTGATATTTAACAGCCCACATTTCATTCTCTTATTTTGTGCTACTGAGGAGTTAGTTTTAATTTTTATTAGATTTTTATGTTTAATTCCTCTTGTTTTTATTTCTTTAAATAATTTAGGTGGTCGGGGGACAGACACAGTCTCTATGGGGTTTTGGGTGGGTGACTGTTCTAAGGAAAGCGCAGAGAAGTGTGTAAGACAGCAGCTCTGCTTCCTGGTCCTAACTCTGGACTGTCAGGTTTTAGAAATAAACTTTGCCATATTTCTAGATAAGAGAGCCGCTCCATCCAAAGTGGGATGGATGCCGTCTCTCCTAATCAGACCAGGTTTTCCCCAAAAAGGCTTCCAGTTATCAATGAAGCCCACATCGTTTTAAATAGGATTGGATGTCGCCCACTCTGGCCCCAGGTATACATTTAACTGCTGTCGCTGGCTTCACTAAATTCACCTTCCTGACTATGGAGCTGCCAATAATCAGAGTTGGTTTCTCAGTGGGTGATTCGCTGAGTGGGGAAAATGTATTGTTAACATGAACCTGTTGGTGGTGAACTGTAGGTTCGAGAGTCACTAAAAGAAGGAAGTAGCTTCGAGTGTTTAGGTAGAACTAGTCTGCTTTTCAATGTTAAGTGGGTAAATAACCCCTGTAATGAGTATAACTGTACGTTTTTAGCGTCCACAGGACAGAGCTACAGCAGCAGACACTGTACAGGAGCAGGAAGTAACCTAACATAAGGAAATGACTCAGTACGCCTACTGTTGTATGTCAGCACGTTCATGAAAGCAGAAGTACCGGCTCTTAGAGCACATGGCACATTATTCGACTCTACACATGTTTTTTGGGTTGCCAAAGTTTATATTTATGATTCACT